GCGACTGATCTGCCTCACCTGGGAGGAGCGCAATGATGGTGCCAACTTGGGCCAGTGAAGCAACGTCCTCCACAACTAGACTGAAGAACAAAAGGACAACAAGTTGTCTGTTCCCCTTCCCCCAATTCCCCAGCGTTGTTCCCATCCCTCAATTCCCCAATAAAAATATTTAAAAAAAAAAAGGGGGGAAACAGTCTTTTGCCAAGAAACTCTTCATGGTGTTCAGGAAATGTGGGTTTGGGGACAGGCTCAAAGCAGCCTGGTTTATTGAATACTCAAGAGTACGCCTGCCCCCTGGAGGTGGTGAGGGGCAGCATCGGGACTGGCAAGGCCCCATGGGAGCTCAGCTGAGCCCTCCAAGCAAGACCACAGTGGAAGCAGCTGTGTCTCTGGGCCAGAGGGTCCGGAGAGGGGCGACCCCCACAGTTGGCAGGTGTGGTGCTGGAGCTCTGTGCACTGTCCACCTGACAGGCCACCATAGCCAGGAGATATCTGGCGCCTGAAGGTGGGTGGGTCAGGTGTGTGCTGGTCCTGAGGTACAAGCTACTTTATCCCTGGACGTCAGAGAAACAGGTAGAAGTCCACTTGGCCCAAGGGATGGGCATGGAGACTGGAGCCTGCAAAGGAGTCAGAATCCCCCCTGAGAGTTTCTGAAACACCACCCACCCCAGGCGGCGAAGAAGACCCCCATGCTCGGGGGAGGGGGCAGCAGCGGCACGCCCACTGTCCAGACTCAGCCGTCCCCATCCTCATGCCTCAGCACCACCTGTGGGTGCCCGTTCCTCTGTCCAGTGGCTGCCCTGAGCAGTCACACTGGCCTGTACAGAGGGAAGGGCCAGGGGCACCTGCCTGCTTCAGCCTGGAGTTCTGAGACGGAGGCTTCAGATCCAAAAAGCATCACAAATCAAAACAAATTAGTGTTTTTTCTTTGTTAAAAGGAAATGTGCCAATGCAAACGCGCCTCTGTGCTTTGAGACAAGGCTCCTAGCCACTTCTTCAGTGTGGCTGCCTTTGGAGTGAGAAGGAATTAAGGTTAAATGAGGTCCTAAGAGCGGGTCCTGGTCCGAGAGGATTAGTGTCTTCATGAGAAAGAGGAGGCAGAAGAAAGGCCATGGGGGCACCACAAGCAGAAAGTCCTCCCCACAAAGCTGATCAGCCGGCACCTTGATCTTGGACATCCAGCCTCCAGAACTGTGAGAAATAAATGTCTGCTGTTTAAGCCGCCCGGTCCGTAGGGTTTGGTTGTGTTGCCTGAGCCAAGACATAGGCCTTTTGAAAAATAACTTCCTTGGTGTCTGCACAGGGAGAAACTGACCCGCCACCAAGGGGCCAAAATCGAGCTGGTCACTCTGAAGGAGGGGCGGGCTTGTGGACTGCAAACTTCAGAGCCGATTAGACCCACAAGCCTCTTCTACTCTGTTGCTTGGGGGTGGAGTGGGAAGGAGGACGGGGCGCTGAGCATCGGGGATGCAAACACCCGCCCAGGCACCCCACTCTCAGTGGGCCAGACCAGCCTCTGGACCTCACCTCCTGATGCCAGTCCCCCCTGCCCTCCACGGTGGGGAGTTGCCAACCGGGTCATGCCCCGCTCCAGCCACAGGCTCTACGTGAAAACCAGGCTCCCTCTGCCATCCCCAGCCCCGCAGGGCGCTGCAGGTCAGCAGGGGGCCTTTTCACCAGCTCACAGTGGGGCCTTTCCCTAATTTCTGAATCGGCCTGGCTCTGAAATTTGACTAGTCCTGCAGAGAGAGGGAGGGACCCTAAAAAAAGTGCGGGTCCCTGGGCCCTAAGGTCCTGTGTCTGGGGAGGGAGGCCCTGGCTCCCGGATCTCCTTCCTGCGATTTCGTCCTCAGCTGGCCCCACAGACACAGGCTCCTTTGGGAAATGCTCAGGCGAGTTTGCTGCTTGAAGGGGGCGGTGCTTAGCCCACAGATAGGAATGCCAGGATCAGGTGCTTTCCCTCTCGGATTAGAGGCTTCCTAGGGCCTGAGAGGACACTTGCTTTGCTCCGCTAAGGCTGCTATCCCTGGCGTACCTCAACCATCGCCCCTAAATTAATTGGGGTCACAGACACAGGGCCCCACACCAAGAGGAGCCTGCAAACTACGCACGGGACCCCAGGAACCCTCCGTCTCCCCGCCAGACTGACCAGGTGGTTCCGAAATTAGGGGAAGGGCCCACTCGCCTCATCCCAGGGCCACTGTGAAGAATCCAGCAGTGAAAACAGCCCCCACCCACGTGCTGCATTCAGTCCCTGCTGAGGCTGCGGAGGCCAGGTCTGAGGCTACTGGCTGATTCTAGTGCAAAGCCGTGGTGGGAGGAGCTGCTAACAAGAGAGAGGGGCCCCAGAGGAGAGGGGGTTTCCATGGCAGCCATCAGCTGCCGGGGCTGGGAACCACTGGGCACAGGCTGTGTGTGAGGGTGGGCTGGGGGCTTGTGGTGGTGGGGTGCCCCCCACCCCTGTTCTCCTGCTTTCCTTCCTCTTGGTCACTGCTGGACAGACAAACAGGGGTCCCACCGAGGGGACCCCAGCTCCTCCTGGCTGCTGCATGCCTGCCTCACACCTCACGCCCACCCCAGTGGCCAAGAATGCCCACTGCCGCCAGCTATTCCAGGCAAGGGGTACGCTCATGTGGGGTGTGGTAAGTTTCCCCAGGTCCTGCTGTGTCCTGGACAGCCAGCCACCTCCCAACTCTGTCCCCTGTCCTGTGCCCTCTAAGGGTTCCCCATGCTGCTTCCCAGGGCCAGGCAAGCCTGAGCATGGCACCCTGCCCACAGCCTTCTCTGGGCCCATCCTGGCAGTGAAATGGCCACAGGTGCCCTGAGCACCCCTCCATTCTCCCCCACACCGTTCGTCACCCCTGCAGCCCCAGCCCCAGACTCGGAGCTGACACCTGCCCCCTCCAGCCTGTCTGGCTACCTGAGGTATGGTTGGGGGTGACCGAGTCTGAGGGCAGGGAAAGGGGGTGCTGAGGCCCTGCCTCCTCCACACCTGGCAGTGGGCGGGGCATTCAGGAGTCTGGCCTCCACCAGAGGGGCAGACACAGGTTGGTAAGGGGGCGCCTGTGGGGGTGAGTGGGTCCCATAGGCACAGGCATCTTCCAGGCTCTGTGACCACACCTCAGGCATCGCAGGTGGCACACAGGTAGTGAGCACCCAGGGGCCAAGGCCAGAGGGAAAGCGGGTGGGAAGGGGAGGGTTCCTGATGGGTAGCGTCCCCTGCTCCAGGGCCCAGGGCCCAGGGGTCCTTCCTCCACGTCTGGCTGCTTTCTAAGGGTCCCAGCCTGGTGGCCCCAGAGGCACCTGAGCTCCCTCTGATCCTGCTTCCAAAGGGAGCACCTGTGCCAGGGGGACGGGAAGCGCCCACCCATTGGCCCCATGCACAGGCCTGAGTGGAGGGCCCTGCATCTGCCCAGAGCTCCAGGAGGCAGCCCGAGGTGGTTGGAGGGGTCAGCGCCGGCGCAGGTTTCATGGCTGTGGGTGATGCCACGGGGGCCTCAGGGCAATAGAGGGGCACATGCTCCCCAAACTGCAGAAGGAGGAAGCTCTCTCCCCCTGCGGAGTGTTTGCTCTGCTCCTGCCACACCAATGGCTTTACAGCAAGGCCTCGTTCACCAGGCTCCCATGTGAGAGAGGCCAGCTGAGCTGGGACTGAGCCAGCCTGGCCTGTCTCCCTCTCCCTGTCTCTCTATCTCTCTCCCTCTCTCCCCCTCTGTCTCTGCCTTTCTCCAGCACTCACAGGACACTTGCTTGCCAGGCCTGGGGGGCACAGGTAGAATAGGGGCAGGAGTTTGGGTCACACAAGCCAAAGGCGAGTCCCCACAGACCGCCCTGCTGTGCCCTGCCTCCTTCCCACAGGTCCTGGGGACATAAACTGGGTGACAGAGCTGGCGGTGGCCAGCAAGTGCCCCAGGAATGCTGCACGGCCAGGTGTCGCTCGATGACATGGGTGCTACATGACCTCAAGCAAGCCTGCAGCTATTTCCTGGGCGTGTCACCTCCCAGTGAGGTGCTTGGGGCCTCGTGGATGGACACATGGTTTCCTTCTGGGCTCTCTACAGCACGTACCTGTGTACCCATCTGCCCCTACGGTCCCTGCTCTCCAAGGACTTGGAGGCCCCCAAGGAGAGGAAATGGCTGTGGGTGATGCCATGGGAGCTTTGGGGCAATGGGGGTGGGCACATGCTCCCCAAACTGTGCAGAAAGAGAAGTTTTTTCTGGACGAGCATATTGGAAACGGTGGTCAGACCGCGTGTTCTTTTCCCCATCTCCCTTCAGGCCTGTCCAGGGCACAGGTCCAGGCAGGAGAGAATCAGGAAACCAGGGCTTGCCCTCAGCTGCCCTGTGACTCAGCCTGGTGACCTGGGGCATCACTGCTCTGTCCTCTGGTCTGTAGGATGGAAGGGGTGTGCCGATGAGGCGGCATGCCTGGGAGTGTTGAGTGATGGCAGGCAGGCACACGGGTGCCCTCAGGTAGAGGTGGCATAGCTGACTGCCAAGAGCAGGGTCGTGGGCATGCTGACATAACCCTCGGCGCTCTGAGTGCAGTGGGTGGGTGTGAGGGGTGGTGCCTCCCAGGACTAGGTCCTGCATCACTGTCTGCACCGCCCATCGCATCCCCTCCCTGCTCCCTGAGCTGCTGACTGCGGCCAGGAGGATGCGTCTGGAAGGGAAGTTGTTTTTCTTCCGCGTAGCTCCTTTGGGATGAGGCTCATGGCGGATGAATGAAGGGGGCGTGCTCTCAGTCTCTGGTGGGGGCACTCTGCCTGGGCTGGTGCAGGAGGCGTCACAGGGTGAATTGACAAGACGGAATATAACAAGGTGCTCAGGGGTGCATGGGCAGCAAGCCCCCCCCCGAGGCTGGGGGCAGGGGGGAGCAGCTGGGGAGGGTAAGCAGAGTGAGTGAGGGGCCAGATGGGGTCCAGCGCCAGTGGGAGGCAGTAATGCTAGAAGGTTGGTACTCCCCAGGAGCTCCCCCTCTCCCAGACCTGTCATCCAGGAGCCCCCTGCTCCATGTGGACCAGAGGGATGATCATTCTCAGGACTAGGCAGCACATGTCGGGCCTGTCACCTGGTGCTTGCCCTCGTCACATTCCACCTTCCTTTGTGAGTTATTTTGCCGGGAGAGGGTCCGGCTTCCGGATGGGAGAAGACACACCTCCATGCAGTGTGGCAGGGATGTTCCCCCACAGCCAGGGCTGCCTGCAGGGGCCCAGCAGGGCCAGGCGCTATTGCAGGGCAGCAAGATCCCAACAGCTGGCATTCCCCAAACGCTTACTGTGTGCCAGGCACAGTGCCCGGCACTATCCAGAACCTATGATCCTTCACTGCCCCTGGAGGACAGCACTGCTGAACCATATGTACAGGCAGCAGAACCAAGGCTCAGAGAGGGAAAGCAACTTGGGCTGGGTCACACAGCGGTGGGGGTGGGGACAGCCTCCAGTTCTACTCGGCCTAACTCAGAGCCCGAGCCCTTGGCCAGCTACCGCACAGCACCCCCAGAGCGTTCTAGCTCCTCCAGGAAACTCTGATATAAAGTTGAGACTGTTCCAGCCCAGGGACCTCAGCTCCTCTCTCCTTGCGGTGACTGCCACGGGGCCACAAAATTCTCCCTTACTCTACCATTCATATCACATCACATCACATCACATCACTTATGAGGACCTTCTTGGCACCAAGCACCTGGCCGCAGACACAAGGTATATGTAGGATGCTCGAGGCGATGGCTTCCTGGGGACTCTGAGCTCAGATCTGGTGGGGCCGTGGAAGCCCCTGCCCTTACAATGATGTCAGCTCCGGGGGCGCCCCAAAGAGGCAGGCCTGGGGCCTCCGCAGATGAGGGCGGAGCCTCGGCATGCTGTACCACCCACCCTGCAGGGGCCAGTTGGCAGCCACAGCCAAGGCCAGGAGCGAGGCCTTGCCCAGCTCCTGTGGTCATCCGGGGAGGGTGCGTGGGCCGAGCCGCCGGGCGCAGGCTTTGGGCACAGATGGTTCTCATTGCATGCTGCCTCCCTTCCGTAGGAAAAACAAACCAGCCTGGCCAGTGGGCCCTTTTTTATCTCGTGTTTATTTTCGAGTAGTCTTCCTTTGCCTGAAGCCAGCGTCCTGTGGACTGCATTCTGCTGAGGGTCTGGCTAGAGGCCTTGGTATTTTCCCGAGGGCTCCTGGGAGGGGCTGGAAAGCTGCTGAGGAGAGTAGCCCCTCTCCGGCTCCTGGACTTGTTTCCTCCGCTTGGTCACAGCGACTTTCCAGGGTTTGGAGTCTCCTGGCTGCACCGGGAAGGTCGGGGTTGAGAAGGGGAGCAGGACAGAACCAGGTGAGACCCGAATGTGCCGTGAGGGCCTGCTGCAAGCCCCCTGTGCCAGGAGCTGGCCCTGGGCAGTGCGGAGACCAGGCAAGTGGAGCTCAGGCCATCAGCGCTCCAGGAATTCACACCGGAGGAGGTGGCCGGGGCAGGGACACCCCGGGGTGGGCTCAGCCCAGCTGCTCTGCCTGCACGCTTCCTTTTCCCTGACTCCCACGTCAAAGATGAAACCAAGGCTGGGAGGGCGACGTGGCAACTCAAGGTCTCAGCGGTAGGGTCGGGGGCTCGTCGCTGTGGACAGCTTCCAGGGCCATCCACTCCTCTCAGACCCGTAAATTCACATGGGGGACAGAACCGTGTTTGTGATCAGCCCCTCTCTCTAAACTGGGCAGAGGAGCTCCCCAATGCCTGCACTCCACTACCAGTTTGGAGAAGGGGTGACCCACGTAAAGGCTGGGCAGAAGGAGAGGAGCATACGACCACCAAGAGGGGGGTGCCTGCCAAACAAACGCAGGGGGCCCTCAAACAACCTCACGTGGAGGATGGAAAAAAGGGGTGGGAGGCCAGCAGGGATGCACGGACACCCAGGGCCCAGCAGCAGGGCCAGCTCCAGGTCCCCTGCCCTCCACCCTGGCGAGTCCGGGGGCGCGCCGCGGCCTGCTCTCGTGCCGCCCCTCCCCCCACCGTGACCCGCCCCCCACGAGCTTCCTCTCCGCCCCCTCCCCTCCCCCACCGCGCGGAGGGAGGAGGGGCTGCTGACGTCACGGCCATGGCGGGAGGGGCGGCGCCCCAAGCACATCACTTCCTCGGCGCCTCCCGCTGGCGGGGACAGGCGGACGGACAGTGGACAGTGGCCCGAGGACAGCGGACGGGGGACCGACGCCGGGCAGCGCGAGCGAGGAGTGCGCAGCCTCGGCCCTCGGCGACCCCGGCCCATGGCCGGTCCAGCCCCGCCCGCCGCCGACGAGCTGCCCGGCCCGGCCCGGCGCCTCTACTCCAGGTGGGCTGGGCGACCGCGGGGCAGCGGGCAGCGGGGACCGGGCAGGCGACCCGGCAGCAGGCGGCGGGCGGCCCGGAACAAAGGCGGCTGCAGGCGCGCAACGTGGCGGGGACGCGCCCTCCCTGCGAGGCGGCGGGGGTGGGAGCGCGAGAGTGGGGGGCCAGGAGTGGGGGTGCGGGGGGTGCTGGTGCGAGGGTGGGAGTTCCCGAGGGTACCTGGTGGAAATACCGGGGGATGCGGGCGGTTGGGGAGCCTTGGAGTGGGGGCAGGAGGATAGAGGCTCCTGGGAGGGGTTGGTGGGACCAGCAAAAGCCTGGAGACCAGCGGTGTGCAGGATGGGTGGCCGGGATGGGCTGCTACCTGCCGGAGCCACCCCCGGTCCCAGCACCCCGACAGGGTGTGAGAGACTAGTAGCTTCTCCAGCTGCCCTCTCCTGGCCGTTGGGCCACCTGGCACAGCAGGTGTGTGGAGGGGGCTGCCAGAAGCCTCCCCCCAAGCCTGACATCACCTCCCCATTGCCATAGCCTGGGTATTCAGGGAACAGCATGGCTGAAGAGGCCAGGCTGTGTCATGGGTGGGATCCTGCCCCCCACTGGCCCACCCCGTGCATTGGGGTCCAGCGGATTCCATTGGGGTTGGGGCTGCAGAGCCAGCCAGCCAGGTGGGTGTGTGCCTAAAAAGACACCTGCCTCCAGGCAGATTCATGGGTGATAACAGCGTCTGGGCTCTGCGCCCCACACTCGTCAGGGATGACGGGGTGGCCCTGCCCAGGGCTGCATGCCTGCTTGGTGACTCTAGGCCTGGTTAGGGTGTTCCAGAGGGTGATGCCCTGGGCCCGGCCCAGGCGGGCACGAGACCCTCTGAAGGGGGCTGGACTCTGCCAACCTGTGCAGGCGTCAGTGCTGAGCAGGGCGGATTGCTGGCGGCAGCTCCCAGAGGCAGGCCTGGCTCCCTACAGAGAGCCTGATGCCCCCACCGCCTGACTTGGAGGGATGTCATCATCCCTGCACCCCCAGCCATGCCTAAGACCCTGAGCCTCCAGCTGCTGAAGCTTCAGAGGCCTAACTGGGAGCCCCTCAGCCGCAAACCTCTGCCTGCACCCCGATGTGCAGAATGAGGGCCTGTGGAGGGGGGAAGCGAGGCCTTGCTGCCCCTCCCACCTTGGTCTGGGCTGTGCTGTTGGCCAGAGACACAGCCCCCATTGTGTGGTCTCAGGATGGAGCCTGAGCCCCTGGCTGAGCCCCTGGCCTGGCTCCTGGGCCCCATGGGGGGAGGGGTCCGGGGGGGGGGTGTTGCTGGCAGCTGACACTGGAGGCCTGCCCTAAAGGGTCCCCTCCACCGCCCCCTCTGGATGGAGAGCTGTGCAGGCAGCATTTGCCCAAGGGTCATCTGTTCGATGGAGAGGGGGTGCTTTGTCCCAAAGAATGACAGGAGTTGATCTGGTGGCCAACTGGCTGTGTGAGTGTGAGTGTGAGTGTGTGTCTGTGTGTGTGTGTGTGTGTGAGAGAGAGAGAGAGAGAGAGAGAGAGACAGAGAGAGAGCTGGTAGACCCTGAACAGCTGAGCATGGGGTCCAACCGTCCTAGCCACTCCACAGGCTTGACTGGGGAGCCTGGGGTGTCGGCCGGTGCCGTGACCCAGCAGGGACACACCAGACAGTACCCTGGCCTGGGGTAGTTGTCCCTGGGCAGGGACAAAGCTCAGAGGGGATGCTGGGAGAGGCCCCAAGCCTAGCCTGGCATCATTGCAAGCTGAAACCTGAACTGAGCTGGACTAGGCGAGCTGCGTGCAGATTTGGGACGTGGGGAATGAGTCTTCTGCAGGGCCTGGGAGGAGGCCTGCGGGGGGTTTGGACCTGACCAACCAGGTAGCTGTGGCTAGGTGTGGGCAGGGCAGTTCCTGGTCAGAGCTGGCTTTTGGAGGCTGGCAGGAAGGGATGGGGGCGTCCTGGACAGGTGGGGCTGTGGGGCGGGACAGGAGGGGCCCCAGCTCTAGCAGCCCTGGGCTACTGCAGCCAGGAAGCTATCAAAAGGCCGCCTGCCCCTTGAAGCCCACGTGCCGGGGGGAGCCCACCAGCGGCGTGGGAGTCAAGGGGTGTGGATACCCCGTGGAAAGGTCCACTGGGTCTGGGCACTGCTTGGATAGCTGTTTTGGGGGGAACCTCTGTGTGTGGAGGGGCTCCCTGAGGATGAACCAGGTCTCCTCTGCCCGGCCCACCCCCATGGGCTCCCCTTCCCATATCCGACGTTTTTGCTGGTGAGCGAGTTCAATTCTAAAACGGGCCTGGGGGCGCTGGGCTTAGAATACTCCCTGAAAAGAGCTGGGAGCTACCAAGCCCCCACATGAGGCCCTGGGGAGGGGCTGAGTCAGGGAGGCAGAAGCTCCGCTGCACCTGGGCCCTGCTGCCCCTCCTGCCGGAGCGGGGGTTTGGGGGGGAGCAGGTGGCCAGGGAAGCCGTGGGTGGTCCTCTCCTGGCCTCCCCCAGCCACTGCTAAATGCTCCTGCCTGGGGCTGGGAAGGGGGGAGGGCAGTGGCAGAGTACCCCGACTATGGGTGGCCTTTAGAGATGTGTCCCAAACAGCAGGCTCCCAGACAGGGGCCTCCCCAGGCCTCATGACCATGCCACGGGTCCGTCCCCACGCGGCTGCCTCCCGGGCTCCCCCAGGCATTGACTCTGGCAGGACCTCTGGGGAATGATGGCCTGGTGGGCCCTTCCTTGGCCTGGCCTGGGGTTCTCAAGCTGGGTGACACTCACGGCCTCCTCCCCAGCGAGTCCACCCCCGCCAGGCTGCCTGCCCCCTGCTGCCCCTCCATCGCCCCCACTGAAGGAGATTCAGTGTGGCTTCACTCTGGGGGCGCCGGGACAGGGGTGAGCAGGGACCCAGAGTGACAGCGCTGGAGAGGGAAGACAGTGGTGATTGCATTTAGCAGAGCATGGGGCTGAGGGGGACACGGCCCCTGGTTAGCTGCAGGTGGTGGGATGTGGAGGCCAGTCTCCGTCATCAGCACCAGAGGGCTCCATGGAGTCTGGTGGGGCAGACAGGTGAGAACAGGGGGTAGAGAGCAGGGCAGTATGGTCCAGGCGGGGCCAGGATGCTGTCTCGGGTGCCAAGGCCGGGCCGGAGGGGTGTGGCACAACGTGGTGGCAGAGAAGTAAGGCTGGTCACTTCATGACCGGTGAGCCTGCGGGCTGGCGGCGGGAGCTTGGCAGACAGCACCCTGCCTCCCGGCCACTGCAGTGTGGCCGCTGGGAGAGCCGGCCCTGGTCAGCCCCTCGCAAGGAGAGGTGTGCTGGACAGGTATGGTGTTAGTGAGTGGATGCAGACCCGGCTGGGGCAGGCAGGCTCGTCCCGAGTTGCCTGAGGTGTTGGGCCAGGTCTCTCAGGACTATAGATGGCCAATTAGGCATCTTTTTAGACAGCTGGCAAATCCCAGCTGGGAAGGCCACTCCGTCCCAGGGTTTGGGTGGTGAGTCTGGTGGAGGAGCTAAGACCACAGCCACGGGGACTGAGAGACCTGGGCAGCCCCACCCCAGTCTTGTGGCCTGAGAGCGGGGCTCTTGGTGGCCCTTGGGGGACAGCCTGCAGGGTGGGTCTGAGGGCAGTGGGCAGCAAGGCAGACTGGGCAGACCGCTGTGCCCAAGGTGGCTGCAGTCCCAGTGCTGCCTGTGTGCGTGGGCACCTTGCCAGGTGACGGGGCAAATACCTACAGACCTGCAGAGGTGGTGGGGGCAGAAGTGCCGAGAGAGGATGGCCTGCACTGCAGCCCCGGCAGGCGGAGGAGGGGCCTGGGGTTGGTGTGAGGGTGCAGAGTTTGGGGGTTCAGCTTGTTGACAGGAGCTGGGCACAGAGAGGGTAGCCCAGGCCCTGCCTTGTCCCCTCAGCTGAGCTGTCCTGGGGAGTGGACAAGCGGTGTTGGACAGAGGCCTCAGGGCAGGGAGGACACCCCGGTCAGGACGCCCTGGGGAGCCTGGTACGGCAGGCAGCCTGGGCCCCGATCCTGCCACCTCTGCAGACACCTCCCCTCCCCGTCCAGGACTCTGCCCTCCCAGAGCCCCCCAAAATGGGCAGGGCCTGCAGGGCCTCATGGCTGATGCTGGCCTTGGGCTCCTGCATCCTGCCTACCCTCCCACTCAACCTTGCTCAGACCCCAGGTGGTCGGTCTCAGGGAGTAGGACCCACCCTGGCTGTCCAGTTCCCTCACCCCGGAGCTCCACCTCCCTCCCCGTCCTGGGGTTCTAGCTGTGCAGCCTTGGGGACCCCTCTCACCCCAGCGCCCACAGCTGAGAAGACAAGTGCCTGGCAGGAGGGGCTGCCCGCTATTAGGGCAGAGAGAGCCTCTGTGAGGACCCATGGGTTCCCAGGGGCTGGCACGGGCGGCCCCGACAGATGCCTTGGACGTCTCACCACCACCGCTCTGCCCTGACGGGCCTGGTCTGGGGACCCAGCCGCCTCTGAGCCTCCATGGCCCCTTCTCTGCCGCTGGACGTTGGCGCCAATCCCCACTACTGCAGGGGGTTCTTCCCTTGGCCCAGGGGAGGTCACAGCGTTCGGCCTCGTTGGCCACAGGTGGCTGGAGGAGCCAGGAGCCCGGCAGAGTAGGTGACCGAGGGTCTGGGAAGTTTCAGGAAAAGGAGCTGGGGGGACAGATACCTGTGGCTCCTAAGCTGCCCCCACGGGCCCTGGGCAGCCTCCCCAGGCCCCTCACTGGGTTAGACCTGGCTCCTGGAGCCTCCTTCAGATGGTCGGGGTGGGAGGTGCTAACGGCACGGCCTGGACTCCATGCTCCGCGGGCCCTGCCATGTGCCGGTCCGGGGAGGGCACGGTCTGGCTGGGGTGGGGGTGGGGGGCCGGGAGCAGACTGGGAGCCGGATGGTGCGGGCTAAGTGCAGACCCTGACAGGAAGGAATCCTGGCTTCACTGCAGGTGGGCCCTGGAGGCAGGGTGGGCTTCCCCGGCCCGGAGAGCTCCGCCCCGTGGAGAGAAGGGGCTGGGGCTGGCGGCCGGCCCGACCCAGTGTGCCATCTCCTTCCTTCATTCACAGTGCTGGGGCTCCTTCCTGCTGAGTGACACGGCTCTGGCCCAGAGCTGGCCTTGAGGTCAGGGTAGAGTAACAACAGTTTGCCGAGGAGGAGTCGGGGGGTGAGTGGGAGGGAGGTCACAGCCCCCGGAAGGATGTCCTCTGGGCTTCCCTGCCCACCCGCCCGCCCGCCCTGCTGACAGCGCTGATCCGAGGCTCTGAGCGCCCTTATCCCTTGATCCACCTTCGTTGCTGTGAGCCCCAAATGATCTGCCTGAGGGCCTGGGGTGGCGAGAGGCAAGGGAACCCCAAGACCAGTGCAACCTCAGGACCAACAGCTGGCCGGCCAGCAGGGAGGTCCGGAGCCCGCTGATGCTGGCTGCCGTCATGGAGGGCCAGCCTGTGGCCCTGAGCTTGGCGGAGAAAGCCGTGTGCAAAGTGGTGTACGGTGGCCCCCGCCCCCGCCCGCTGCTGCTGCCCGTGGGCCTGGAGCTGTGGCTGTACGTGCAGAAGATGCGAAGCCTGCAGAGGAAGAGGTGTGGCGGCACCTGGGAGGGCACTGGGGTGGGCAGGCAGTGACCAGGCTGGGGTGCGGGTGACGGGTGCCAGCCTGGAGGTCAAGGTGCAGCTGGAGGTTCTTGGGATAAGTGGGGGAGGGGGCTTCTGGCCCCAGACACCCTGCTGGTGCTTCTCCAGGCCACCACCTCATGTCGCCAGACACCTGTGTTAGACGCCCCCAGGCTGTGCTCCGATGACATCCCCTCAGCGTGCCCTGCCCACCCCCTTGACTTCTGGGCCCCAGGCCCTTCTCAAGCTAGGAGCCTTTGCTTTGAGATGGGGGGGGTGGGGGGGTGGAGGTGGGGACAGATCTGGCAGAACCAGCAGGGCGTGCTCCTCTATGAAGGCACCCTCCTCCACAGTCACCTGGAGGAGGACAGGGCTGCTCGCCTGTCGGATGGCTTGTCGAGCCGGGCGGGGACAAGAAGCCGGGTGGGTGGCACCTCAGTGCGAGTGGGGCTGCTATGATGTGCATCCCGATGGCCCTTCCCAGAGCAGCTGCTGAGGTGAGGGCACGTCATGGATGGGAGGCTCGGCCTGGTGTCCTGGTCTCAAGGCCTCGCCCCGACCCCTGGCTCTCTGAGGGGCCACAGGGCTCTGCCTGCACCTGGGGAGGCAGGGAGGTGGTGGGGTCCCCTCCACAGAGGGGAGGGGCCCAGTGGAGGGGGGGCCTCCCCTGCAAAAAGCTGTGAACCTGTGGGGCGCTGGGCACAGCTTCTTGAGGGTTTGCCAGCCCACCCCAGCCTGTTCACTGGGTCGTTAGCTTTGGAGGCATTTAAGGTGCCCGTGTTCTCAATAATGTGGGAACAGAGTGAATGGCACGTGGTTTGTATCAAAGGGACATTTGGTTAAAATGGTTGAGAAGCACTGGCCTAGACAGCTTTGTTCATTTTTTTAAGGAAATATGTTGATTTCCCCCCAAAAGTCCTGAGCATTGCACAAGTCTAACAACACAGAGAAGAGGCGAGTGCCTTGGGGCACAACAGGGCTGTTTTGGTATGGACATTTTTAATTACTCTAGGTTTTCCACAAACTCTGATGACCTCAAAAAGCAATGGGACTGAGATAAGGACAGTCAGGGCCGGCCTGCGACCATGCAGAGCACGTCCCCCGCTTTACCAGGTCTCCTCTACGTTCATCCACTGGGCTGGGGGCCAGCCGACCTCCGTGGGAGGACCCTCTCCCCAGGCCCCGCCTGCCGCTGCGTGGCACCCCCTCACTGAGGCCCAGTATTCCCTTTCTGTCTCCCCTCCTGCCCTTGGGGCGTCCTCCAGCTTGGGGCTTCTCTTGCTGCCCCCATGGCATCTGTATTTCCCTGTAACTGCCCTCCTGTGCCAGGCAGGGCAACAGGTCAGGCCTTGAGCATGGGAGCCACATGACCAGTTGGAGCAGGATGGAGAAGAAGGCTGAGGCCCTGGGGAGCAAAGTGTCCCCCAAGGCCCCACAGCAAGAAGGGCCAGAGCCAGGGACAGCCAGATTGACTCCCAGTGCCCATGACTCACCTGCCGACCGTGTCCGGAGCGCAGCTCGCCTGAGGCCCAGGGCCCCACCTCAGGGTGCTGTGCAGGGCCCAAGGGTGAGGGGCTTCCTCTCTGAAGCCACTGCCCAAAGGTGGGGGCACAGACTCCAACGAGAGTGCTGATGGCCCTGGGACCTTGGGGTTGGGCCACATTCACGGGGCAGGAACCTGGGGCCGCTTTTCAGGGGTTGAGTTCATCCTGGGACAAGGTGCTGTCCACCCACAGCAGCACCAAGGCTCGGGGGCAGCATGGGGGAAACAGCTGTTTCTCAGGCCAGCTCTGGCCAGCAGCCAGCAGTATTCTCAGCTTGTGGCGGAGTGTGTGTGGTGGGGGGGACGGCAGGAAAGCGCTAGGAGCTGGTTGACTCTTGGATCAAATGCAGCCATGCTCCCCCAGAGGACAGGGTGGGGCATGGCATGGGGTTCAGATAATGTCTGAACCCCTAGACCCCACTGAGAGCTTGGAGGATGGGCCCCTGAGGATGCAGGGTAGAGGAGGGGCTAGGCTCAGATCCTGCCTGTGTGGCCTTGACTGGCTCGCTGACCTTCTCTGAGCCTTGGTTATCATCGGTGGGGATTAGGGCCTGCCCCAGGCTGCCATGGCCACTCGGGGGGATGGCGTGTGGCACCTGGCTCCTGGTGGCCCCTCACCTGGACGGCTGGCACTTAAGGGTCTGCAGTGTTTGGAGCTCGGCCACCGCAGGCTGAGGGTCTTACTGTAGTCATAGACACGACTTCGCCCAGGGTGCTCCTGAGCCCTGGTGGTGAGGACGTTTGGGCATAAGTGAGCTACATGGGTGTGCCCACCTGGGGATGGGCATGCCGTCAGACCCAGCACGTGCTTCTGGGCGTTTATCCAATAGGAGATTTACGTCCGTGTGTACAGGTATGGCATGGGCCACAGCTGTCTGAGAGACCCTGTGGTCACAGTGATGACGTGAGGAGCCTGGGTGCCCAGGCTCTGACCTCCCCTCTCTGCCCAGGATGGAGGCCTCGTGCCTCGAGCTCGCCCTGGAGGGCGAGCGACTCTGCAAGGCTGGGGACTTCAAGGCGGGCGTGGCCTTCTTCGAGGCGGCTGTGCAGGTGGGCACCGAGGACCTGAAGACGCTGAGTGCCATCTACAGCCAGTTGGGCAATGCCTACTTCTACCTGAAGGAATACGCCCGAGCGCTAGAGTACCACAAACACGACCTGCTGCTGGCCCGGTGAGCCGCGGGCACGGAGGGCTGTACCTCGCCTGCTGGGTCAGTCCTGGGCAGGGCCTGGGTCCCTGCCCTCGGAGGGGCAGTTACAGTGCAGGATTCACTGAATGAGTTACTGTAGCATTATTTCTCACTTGGAGGCCCCCAGGCCCGCCTGCCTCATCTGGGGTCCTCCCCAAACCCCAACAGCTGCAAGATGTGCAGGGGCCTCCTCCAGACCTGGCCCCGCAGAAGAGGGTCCCTGAGCTGCACACTGCACCCAAGGGCTGGTCCTCCCACCCTTCCCCGGGCCCCCTGCTGGGCTCAGTCCCAGCAGATCTCAGCCTGGCCCCTCACTTCTTCCTGCCCTCCAGGACCATTGGTGACCGCATGGGGGAGGCCAAGGCCAGCGGGAACCTGGGCAACACGCTCAAGGTCCTGGGCCGCTTCGACGAGGCCATCGTCTGCTGCCAGCGTCACCTTGACATTGCCCAGGAGCAAGGGGACAAGGTAGGTCTTCAGTTCCCAGGCCGCCTGCCTGTCCCGCCCCTGACCTGTGGCCCCATTCAGGTCTGGGATTGGGGCCTGCGGTGTGAGTGACACACCACTCACTCTGTCTCCGTGGGAGGAAGATGGGAGGACGGTCCCCCTCAGAAACGAGGGCGCTTCCAGCTCATGCCGACACCATGGGGCTGAGGCCCGGCTCCTTGTCTGTGTCACTCCCCCCAAATCTGCTGACACCCCCAGTCGCGTCTCCGCAGATGTTAGTGCAGCAGCTGCCGTGCACAGAGCAGCCTCTGGTCCGGCCTGTACCTGACACCTGACAGTCTGCTTTGTGACCTGCCCACCCTGTTCCCTGTGGGATAGGTGCCCTTCTCCCTACACAGATGAGGAGCCCGAGGCTGCAGAGGTGCTGTGACTTGCCCCAGATCACAGCGTCTGGCCCTGAGCCGGAGCCCCTCCCCCTGGCTTCAGCGAGGGGCCTGGCCACCCCAAGGGGAGGAGGAGAGAAGGCGGCCAGGAGGGGCAGAGCTGGGCTCTCCCACCGGCCCCCCTCAGGGCCCACCCCACCTCAGTGTCTGGACCTAGTGTGCCCCACCCAGGCCCTTGCCTTTGGGGTCCCAGAAGCAGCCTGTACGGTGGGCCAGTGGCCGGCGCCCCGCTTTGCATGCACGCCTCGGAGCGATGTCTACTCCCAGCAGCCTGAGGCCAGCAGGCTCCTTGGGCGTGTGGCTGCGGAACAACCCAACCTCTGTGCCACCCACAGATCGGGGAGGCCAGGGCGCTCTACAACATCGGGAATGTGTACCACGCCAAGGGCAAACAGCTGTCCTGGAGTGCCGCGCAGGACCCCGGGCACCTGCCCCCCGACGTGCGTGAGACGCTGCGCAGGGCCTCCGAGTTCTACGAGTGAGTGGGCGGTGGGCGTCCATGCCTTCCAGCAGTCCCTGACGGGCACAGGGACTGGGCATCAGCCCCGGGCACAGAGCCCGCTCCCAGCCCCACCGCAGCCCCTCGCCTGGGGGGATGGGTCGCGGGGGCCCTGCTTTCCTCACACGGGGAGGAGGGGACACGGCTCAGACGGACTCGGCCCCCAGGAGGAACCTGTCCCTGGTGAAGGAGCTGGGTGACCGGGCTGCCCAGGGCAGGGCCTACGGCAACCTGGGCAACACCCACTACCTGCTGGGCAGCTTCGTGGAGGCTATCACCTTCCACAAGGAGGTGAGTGGATGGAAGGCGGGCGGGCAGCGGCAGGCGCGGCCCCAGCGTGGGCCCTGTGTTTTGTGTGGGCTTGGTGCCTGGGGTCCCGGGGCCGCTCCTCTGGTCACAGACACGGGGTCGGCCACCCTGGGTGGGGAGGCAGTGCCTGCCGTCCCTGTCAGGTTACGGGCTGCTCCGTGACCACCTGCGCCTTGGGTCTGTGTCCTCAGCGCCTGGCCATCGCGAAGGAATTTGGAGACAAGGCGGCCGAGCGAAGGGCTTACAGCAACCTGGGGAATGCCCACATCTTCTTGGGGCGCTTCGACGTGGCCGCCGAGTACTACAAGTAGGCCGCCCTGCACCCAGCCGGGGAGAGGGTGGGCCCTGAGGAGGGCGCGGGCCCAGAGGCTGGCCCCAAGGTGGGGTGAGTCTCACCTCCCAGACCCCCCAGGGGCCGGGTGGGGGCTCTGGGCCGTCCCGGAGGAGCAGGCTGACAAAGCCGAAGCTCGGAACTGCCAGGGACAGGAATAACTGTAGTGCTTTCCCTCGGGGAGCTCTGACGGGGGCACCGTGTGCCAGGCGCACGGCTGGCCTTGGCTGTGGGCCTCCTGGTGTCGGTTACTGGGGGGAACCCCGGGGCTGTCTTTGCTCCTCGTGACAGCTCTGGGGTGCAGGCATAACCATTCTCGTATGGACTCAGGAGTGTAGGGACCTCACCGACTCCTGGGGGGTCCCTGACTTATGCCAGGATGCACAAGTCTGGGCCATCTGTCCCCTGGCCTGCCCTGTGCCCCACATCAGGACCCTCAGCCAAATGTTGCTGTTTCTGGAACCCCTGTGGAGAGGTGATGACCGGATAGTGAGGTGACTGGCCAGTGTGGGCAGAGTCTGGTGGGACCCCACCTGTTTGGTTCCAGCAGCTGGGTGCTTTGGCCATGTGAGGATGGGGACACGGCCAGAGAAAGCCCAGTGGATTTCTGGGGCTGGAGGCCTCCAGGCAGGTGGCCTTCTTCCCCCGTTGCTCACCATCGACCCCTCAGACGGGGGCCGTGGGCAGAGCCCTGTCTCCCGGGGGGGGGGGGGGAATGCTGGAGCCGCCCCCCTGGAGGCTGACCCTGCTCTCCGCAGGAAGACGCTGCAGCTGTCCCGGCAGCTCAAGGACCAGGCGGTGGAGGCACAGGCCTGCTACAGCCTGGGCAACACGTACACGCTGCTGCAGGACTACGAGCGTGCCGCCGAGTACCACCTGCGACACCTGCTCATCGCGCAGGAGCTGGCAGACAGGTGTGCAGGGCCGGGTGGGGGTGGGGGCAGCTGGCCCAGGCCCGAGGGCTCCCAGCAGTCCCCGCGGCCAAATCGCAGAGTTTCGGCAGCCGAGGCCTAGGCCTGAAGCCCTGTCTGCCGCTGACCACCAAGGGGCACTGAGCAGGGCGGCCCCACCTGGGTCTCAGCCTCCCTTCATCATGGGGGGCCATGCCACCCACGAGGTAGGACTAGGCGAGACCGGTGGACGCTGCGCTGGCCACTTGCAGGGACCCTCGACACCAGCTGGTTGGGCAGTTTCACCCCTGGGTGGTGGAGAGGAGGGTCCTCTAAAGGCTGCCCTGCCAGGTGTCTCTAATGCCCACATCTTCTGCACTTTCTCTTCGGGGTGGTGGAGGTGTCTTAGAACTGGAGCGTGGCGATGGTCACAGGTTGTAAATATGCACAGGGCCGCCACACTGTGCACCTCAGGATGGTTAAGCTTATGTTAGATTTTCACTGCTATTAAAAAATTCATGACCTGACGGACTGGGGTCACCGCCACCCCCACGGGGGGAGGAAGCCATAGGAATGAGAGCCTCACTTCCACTAGGGGGCGAGCGAGGCCGTGCCAAGAATCCTGGCGCCGCCAGGGCCCTTCGTCCCCCAACTCCACGCCATCAATGGAGCTGCACACCCCACCTCCCCTGTCCCTTCCACTTCTTGTCACATTGGGCCTGACCACCTGGAGGCTGGGGGCTTGGGATGGCTGGGCTGGTGGGCAGGCCGGCAGGCCTAGGGGTTGCAGACGTGGACTCAATTTCCCTGCCTGGCAGAGTGGGCGAGGGACGGGCATGCTGGAGTCTGGGGAACGCCTACGTGTCCATGGGGAGCCCGGCACAAGCCCTGACCTTCGCCAAGAAGCACTTGGAGATCTCGCAGGAGGTGAGCCGGGCCTGCCCTCCCCTTAGCCCCCAACCTCTGCTGTAGCCTGCTTTGGAGGCCCCCCCGGGTGCTGCCCCGCCCTCTCCAGACTGGCTGGGTGTCTGTGTGCTCTGGTCTGTCCCCGGACTGTTTCTCTGTCATTCCTGGGCTGTTGCCCATGTTCAGAGGCCTGCTGTCTGCCTGTTTGCTGTAGCCAGGAGGTGGGCTAGGGGAGCAGGGGAGCTGTTTTCCACCCCTAGAATGTCAGTGTCCCCTGGGGGCAGGCCCACAGCCAGGTCCTTCTGTCCCCAGAGGAACTGGCCAGGCTGGGCCACAAAGATGCCTGTGCCCCACACCAGAGGCAGCCTAGGGACACAAAGTCATGGCCACCCGCAGGATCTGCGCCTGGGATCCCCCAAGCTGCACACCTTTCTGGGGAAGGGTCTTTGAGGGCCTGTCCACCGGGACCCTCCTGTTGTGGTCAGGGCAGCCCGTGACTTAGAGCCACAGGGTTGTCACAGGTGAACTCTGACCCCCCCAGTTCCTGGCCTGTCCTCACGTAACCTCACCCCACCCTGCTCCTCGGCCCCCACCCCACCTCCAAAAAGCAGCCCCCAGAGCAGGGCCACATCGCGTCCCTCTAGCATACCCCCAGTGCCCACCTGGCCCCACCACAGCCCCATGCCCGTGGAGGGGAAAGCCCACAGGTGCCCAGGTGAAGGCGGGAGGGGCAGGAAAGCTCGGATCGGGAGAGCCCGGCCTGGAGAGCCCTTCACCAGGGCCGCCAGCAGGGCCAGCCCCGAGCCCCTCACGCACCGGCAGGGGTGCGGCAGTGGCTCCATGTGGAAGTCCCCCAGCCGCCTTTCTTTGGCGTGCTCCTGGGCAGTGCAGTGTGCCCGCCCGGTGAGCCTGTGCTCCGAGCTGGGAGCCGGGCAGGAGCCATGAGCCCGGCGGGCGCAGGAGGGGTGGACATGAAGCTCCGGGGCTGAGCAGTGCAGCCCCGACAGGCCAGCGGGCCACAGGAGGGAGCCCGAGAAGGAGGGCCCCTCCCACACCGCCTGGCTGCCCAAGTCCCAAGCCTTCCTGCGGTGTGAGGGGGATGGTTTGCGGTACGTGAGGCCACCCCCACCCAGGACTGAGCCCCCAAGCCCACCTCTGGGGACAGTGAGGCCCACAGAGGGCCTCCCAGCTGCCTGCCCGCTGACCTGGCCCTGCTTGGCTACAGATTGGGGACCGCAACGGGGAGCTCACGGCCCGTATGAACGTGGCACAGCTGCAGCTGGCACTGGGCCGGCTGACCAGCCCGGCGGCTGCCGAGAAGCCAGACCTGGCAGGCTATGAGGCCCAAGGTGAGTTCCTGGGCTGGGGGTGGGGAGTCCCACTCCCCACGGCTCAGACCTGGGCCTGGATGCGTCTGTGTGATGGGAGAGCCACCCTGGGCGGGTGAGGGGGCTGGCTCATGCGGGGGCCTGTGGTCACCCTGAGCCCCCCAAGTTTATCAGCCAGTGGTACCACAGAGGGGGGGGTCTCTCATTGCCCCGTCCTAGCTGATCTGCCCCCTCTGGGGCTGAGGACCCCCTCCAGGCTGCGGCCCGGGCCTAGGAGAGAGCTCCCCATTAGGATCGGAGTGGGAGGGAGCTCCTGGGAGGAGGGGGGCGCTGAGTCAGCCAGAGAGGCCAGGGAGCCTGCTGGGGTGCTAATGGGCCCGGCTGTAATGATCTCATCGCTCACCGGCTGCTGGTCACCCCGTATAGGTCAGTGATGTGCACACAAGGACAGAACGTTCCCTGCAAAGCAAATAGATTAATAAATTGGGGGGGGGGCGGTGGGGGATGGGGCGCACCCTGAGCTGGCTTCTCCAGGCAGCTGCAGGTAGGTGTGGGGGCAGGCTCAGGGCAGGGAGCTGGCCGCCCCTTCCCGCATGGCCCCAACCCATGGTTCTCGACTTTTCTGAGAGCCTGGCCCCAGCCTGCGGATGCTGTGTTCTTAGGGGCGCCCGCCCTGCCCCAGCCTCCAAAGCCCCCTGGCCTGCCCAGAACCAGGCCAGGGACGCAGGTACTGGCTGTGGTGGTGGGTCCCTGGGGTTAGAGACGATGGCCTGTCCTGCGAGATGGAGGAATACATGTCACTCCCACTCAGAAACTGAGGACTGAAAGAGGGAGCACAGGCTTCTCCCTTGTTTTGGGGGCATTGTGGCCCCTTGGGAAGTACAGATGGGTGTCTGATCTTCAGGCTGTGGTTTGCCCAGCGCCCCTGGCCACCCCGGCCCTTGGACCGCCCTCTGGGAACCCCTGCAGCAGGCTGTGCCCGGCGACTGGAAAAGCTCCCACGGAGGCGCCACCCAGCCCCATGTTCTGACATTTTCGTCCTTGGAGCTGAGGAAAGGGGGGGGGGCACCTGGTGGGTGAACGGCCAGGCTGTGCAGGAACAAGGCAGCTTCTGTCCTTCCCCTGCTGGCTCTGCCAGAGCCCGGACCCTCCCCGGCCAGGCTGCCAGCGCTGGGCCACCGGCAGTTGCTGGGAACAAGCCATCCTCCTGGGAGGGCCGCAGCCAGTGCAGGCTGCCCAGGCCAAAGGAGGCGGGTCTGGAGGCGCGGGCAGCCCTGGGGGCCAGACTCTGGGATGCTGCCGCCGGAGGCAGGCGGGTGCCCCGAGTCTGGGCAGCCCTGGGGGAGACCCCCGCTCAGGTGAGCCTGGCAGGGGCAGGGCTTTCTGCAGGGGCAGCCTCATTCACTCACTCACTCACTCAGTGCAGGCTGAGCTAGAGCAGTGGACTGGCCCAGCCTGGAAACGGTCCCTGGGGCTTGGGGATGGGGCAGTTGCACATCCAGAGCCTGTCAGTTTGGGGCCAGTGAAAGGGACCCAGTGAGCACCTAGCGGGACGTTAACCCAGCCGGTGTGGAGGAGCAGCTAGCGATTCGGGAGGAGGAGGCCCTGGGCTGGGTCCAGGAGGATGCGGAATTCAGGAGGCAGGGCGGAATTCAGGAGGCAGGGCGGGAGCGCAGGAGTCACGGGGCGTGGCTGGTGTGTGGGCGTGGCTGGTGTGTGGGCGTGGCCTGCAGTGGGCGCTGCCTGTCGTGGGCGTGAGTGTGGCTGGAAAGCTGGAGGCCAGACCTCTCGGGCTTTTTTTTCCTGTCTTGATAAAAACAAGGGCCCTTCCCGCCGCTGGAGGACCCGGAGCCTGGCTGAGATTCATTCTCCTCACATCCCTCACTGCCCCCACCCTAGCAAAGAGGCCCCAGAGGGAGTCTGGGTGGGCAAGGGCACCTCGCTGCTACTGCCGCCTGGACCCGGGTCAGGGGTCAGTCCTCCAGGGTGTCCTGGGGTGCCCCAGCAAGGGCACCTGGTGGATGGGGTGAGCCGGATGGAGGTTCTCCTGCACCCCTTGACGTAGTGGTTGGATCAGTGCTTAAGCGGAGGGAGCCAGCCCTGAGCCCTGTGGGGATGACCACCTGCCCCCTCTGTTGACTGTCCCCCTGCCTGCCCCTGATGGGCCTGGGCTGTCCTCTCTCCCACGGGGCATAAGCTGCCCCACTCCCCACTTGCACCGCTCTGGCCCCTGCTCAGGGCGTCCGGGGCACAGGGCAGCAGGAGTACCCTGGACGGCATGTCAGCCACCCTTCGGCGTTGGGGTGTACATGTAACATCCAAACAGCAGCTTAGGCTGTGGGCTGTGGCCCTGACTCCACTGTGTCCTGGCCAGCTGACTAAGTGACTTGATCCAGCTGTGCCTCAGTTTCCCCATCTGGAAAGCAGGCCCACTGGTCACCCTGGGAACAGCACCTGGCAGGGATGAAGGCTAAAGGTGCAGACATATCACCGTCCGTGCACTGAGCACGTGGCCTGCAGCTGTGTCTGGAGTGGATCAAGCGAGGCGAGAGGGTAGGGGACAGGGTTGAGGGCGGCAGGGCCTTATGGGCTCTTTTGTGAGCCCCATCCCACACCGGTGGGGCTCTGCAGGGTGGACAGGAGGCATAAGATCCAGCCCAGATCCTGAGGGCTCTCTAGCGGCTGCATGGAAAAGGGACTTCAGGGGACAAGACTGGGGCAGGAGGCAGGCGAGGGATGTGGTACTCAGGTCCCAACAGGTTGGGACAGGACATCATGCTGCCTGGTGGGGACAGAAATGAGAGGGTGCCAGTCAGAATCAGGTGGAGTGGGGCAGTGCTCAGGGAAGTTTCCAGACCTCACCCTCTTGGGCGGGAGAGGTGGGACTCAAGCCAGTGGTGCCGGGACCTAAATGCCCCCAGTCAGCACGGCTCAGCCAAGGGCGTGGGCCGCTGGAGCCGGTGGGCGCGGAAGACCTCAGCAACTCCCCAGACAGAGGGTGCATTCAGCAGGGCCCAGAGGGCCTGCTGCCCTGGGTGGCCGTGAGGGGACCCACCCTGTGTGTCACAGGGGCATTTCAGCCTTTGCCTTGGCCAGGGATGTACGTGGAGGGCCAGGTGGGGCAGCAGTGGATTTGTGGGGCCTGGGGCCCACGGACAAGGTGGGGAAACCGAGTCGGGCCCCCAGGGTCAGAGCAGCCGAGAGGCCCTCAGCCAGGCCCTGGCGGGTGATGGAGCAGGGTTCCCGCTTGCTGTGGTGAGTAGAGACCCCTTCACAGAGGCTGCCTGTCCTGCGGTTTGCATGTCAGCCTCAGGACAGAGATGCCCCACCTCCATTCTCCCCATTCTCCCCATCGCTGCCCACGGGGGAGGGACAGCACTGTCCCCAAACCGTGTAATTTGTGGATGAACCATCATTTATTCCTAATGGGGGGGGGCCAGCAGGGGACCCTGACCCCACTCTAAGCCCCGTCTCCTTCAGCCTCACAGCACGGGGCCAGGCTGCCCTGCTCTGGGCACAGGCAGTCCCGGCATTGAGCACCATGTAGCAGGGGCAGGGAATCCTGCTTTGGGGGCAGTTGTGCTTGGAGCAGGGAGGCCAGCAAACAGCCCCGAGCCCTAGACTTATAGGGCCAGCTAAGCACTTCCAGGAGGTCAGGCCACTGCAGCTGCCCTGTTCCCAGGCTCCTGGGACAGTAGCCACAGACACTCCTATGGGGGCCACTGCATTCCCACCCAGGCTGTCTCATTTCTCGGCCTTTGGAGCACAGCAGGCAGGATGTGGCTTCCTCAGAACCTGGAGGCCCGGACGGACAGGGCGCAGCTGCGCACGCCGTCCCCTCCAGCCAGCTCTGGACCACCTGTCCGGTTCTTATGAAGCCCTGGACACTCGGTTTGGGCTGGTCTGAATGACTGACCGCCTGAGCCGGTTCCCCTCCCTCTGGGGACCGTGTGCCAGGCAGTACTTGTGGGCACAGGGCTGCGTCAGGGCGCCATGCTGAGGGGCCTCTGCATACCCCTCCCTGCTGCTAGCTGTGGCGTGTGTGCTGGGCCATGTGGCCATGTGGCAGGGGGGTCTCTGGGTCCAGCTGCCATGCCGTCCACAGAGCAGCTGAGCGTCACGAGTGGAGCCCGTTCACAGCACTGGGATGACCACAGAGTGGGTGGGAAGAGGGCCGAGTCCCGAACTTGGGACCTGGACCTTACGGGGTCACCAAAGCCAGACCCCACCAGGCCCCCATCTCGATGCTTCATGGCTTGTCTAGTCGGGGGGCAGAGCCCACACGGAAGGTGCATTTGCTTCCACGTGGCGCAGGAGGAGGGGAGCTCCCCGCCATCCCTCTGCTCCCTAGAGGGCCCCGGCCTGTGCCAGCCAACCTGGAGGCCAGGGGCCAGTGCTGGCTGACCGTGCTGTTCTCTTCCAGGGGCCAGGCCCAAGAGGCCGCAGAGGCTGAGCGCGGAGGCCTGGGACTTGCTGAGGCTCCCGCTGGAACGGGTGAGTGGGGATGGGGTGGGTGGCTGGGGACTCGGGGAACATCCGCGAAGCAGTGCCAGCACTTAGGAGCAGAGTGTGGGTGGCGGGCTAATGAGGCTGCCGCAGTGTTTGCTGAGCTGCCCCACTGCTGTCCCCAACTTGTTTCCTGCCATGGGAGACAAATGGGCCATCTGCCCCCGGGGCCGCCAAAAAGCCACCACAAAGTCCTGCAGCACCAGTGCCTGCTCCCTCCCGCTGCCTCAGGATCCTGTGAGCCACACCCCCCTGGGGACAAGCCACGGTCCTTCCGTACTGCAGACCCCTGTACCCCTGCCCAGCCAGGTCGCCAGTCTCCGCTCCTGTCTGCTCCCTCTCACTCGGACTCTGCCCAAGGAGAGCGAAGTGTTACCAGTGGGGCAGCTAGGGCTCTGCAAACCCCAAACAGATTTAGGGCTGGCGAGGTGGGGCCCTGGGCCCGTGGGTGCTGTGTGGGCCTGGCTCTCTGAGCCTCTGGTTACTCCAGTGTAGACTGGTTTCGGTTGCTGCTGTCCATGGGGGAGCCTGTTGGAGACAAGCCTCCGGGTCACCCACGGCCACTTGTTGCTTAGTGTGGGAAAGTCGACAATTGGGGGATCAGACACCCAGCTCAAGCCCTCCCGGTGCCCCACCCTGCTGCTCCCTAGGCCCCCAGGGCCCTCGCTGGCCCTCTCTCTTCCTCTACCTTGGGTCACGGTGCCATCGTGTTTGTGTGAAATGGGGCAACTGCCTCTGCCCGGCCCCCCTAAGGTCCTGGGATGGGGAGTACGGCTTCAGAATTGCCGACGGCCCTCCCCACACCCCTTCCCCCCAGGGGCAGAATGGAGACAGCCATCACTGTGGGGACCGGCTCCCCCTCCCCGTGAGGAGCAGGAAGTACCAGGAAGGGCTGGACGCCGCTGAGAGGAGGCCCCGGGAGGGCAGCCACTCCCCGCTGGACAGCGCAGACGTCCGGGTCCAGGTGCCTCGCATGGTAGGCAACTTCTTGGGCTCCGACGGAGCCCCAGTGGGGCCTCCACCTCCCATCCAGGGCGGCAGATCTGGGAGGCCGCTCTAGGGGGCAGGGACCGTGGCCCTGGCTGTCCCCTGGGGCCTGGTGGGCACTGGGCCTGCTGATAGTCCAGGGTACTCAGTGCAGGGACAGTGTTTAATTGTCAGCTGCATCTGGCCACAGTGAGGCCCAGGCCACCCGAGGAGCTGGACCGAGGCCTCGCGGACGGGGCAAGCGTCTGCCTAACAGCCGGGGTCGGGCAGCTCAGGCCCTGGGCCTGGCCAGCAGCCCTGTCCTGGGGTCAGGGTCAGCATATAGAGGTGGACAGACAGATGGAGGCTGGGTGGACAGATAGACGGGGAACCAATGGACCAGTGGTCAGGTAGATGGACAGACAGGGGATGGAGAGACAGAGACCAGGCCTCTTGCTACCTGGCAGGTGTCCTGTGCTCAGGAACCTGGGCTGGGTTCCAAGGTTAGCCTGCAGAACACCTGGCCCAAGCCTCTGGGAAGCGTCTGAAAACAATCTCCTTGAGGGCTTAGCCAGCACCTCCCAGCCCGCGGGGGGCGTGGGTGCAGGATCCCCCCCAGGCGGCTGCTTCCTGCCCCTTTCCCACGAGCCGGGGGGGAAGGGAAAGAGCCCAGCACTGCCCATCCGGTCAGCGTCTGCGTCCATGGAGTGAGATGAGGGGGAGGGGAGCACCAGAGGGGGTCCCTGCGAGGGGCACCGGTCAGGCCCCCGGTGAATGGTGCTGGTGCTGACACTGCTGGCCGTGTTGTTGGGGGCCCCAGGCAGTGTAGGGGCCTTGCCACCTGCAGAAGGAGTTGTTGTGGGGTCTGAGGGGTCCCGAGAACTCATCTCAGGGATGGGGCATGGGGAGCAGGGCTGGACCAGCCCCAGAGGTCGGGGTCGGGGACCTTGGAGTGGGCCCAGCCAGAAAGGGCCTGGGAGAGGGGGACCCCCAACACCAAGGCACTGGGTAGCTGCCGCGGGCTCTGAGCAGGACGGACCTGACCAGGGCCAGACAGGGGTGGTTGAAGCCTGGCCGTGCTGTGGCCCCCCCCTGCCTAAGCTTCTCCACCCAGAGACCACCCTTACTGGGGGATGGTGCCATCCACACCCACCTTTTTTCATGTTGAAAAAAGGGGGGGCTAAGTGAGCCTGCACCCCAGCTGCCTAGGCCCCTCCACAACAGGGAAAGCAAAGAGAGACTCTCTGGTTCCCCGAGCCCCTAAACCACACCAGCCTCCCCACACGATGGCCGTTTAGAAAGTCTCCCTGAAAAGGCAAAGCTGTTGTACCCCTACATCCTGTCCTGGGGCTCTCGGAGCCTCGGGCCGCAGAGATGAGACTTGGGCAGGTGGGGCCTGGGCTGGCCGAGGCGACACATGGCTCTCCCGGTCCTAGCCAGGCCACCATGTGGGGCAGGCTGGCACTGTGAGTCCTGCTCACCTGTTCCACGTGTGAACTCCGGCCCCAGATAAGTCCCTGTGGCTGCCGTCCTGGGGTCCCTTCTTCCAAACAGAGGACAGCCGACATTCAGGCTTGTCATGTATAGTACAATTACAGCAGCCCCAAGAGGGGAGACTGAGGCACAGAGCACCCAAGAAGCTGGTTGAGGCATCCAGCTAGAAGAGGTGGAGCCGGGGTTCCAAGGCCAGGGTCAGCTCCTGGCCCCTGCAGCTTGGTCCCCGTGGAGAACACAGGGCCTTCGGGCCGTGCCGGTGCCGCTGGAGGAAATTCCTATGGCAGAGTGCCGAGAGCCTGGCCCCAGCTGGAGGCTGGGCCGCCGTGGAGGGCTGAGCCCCCACCTGCCAGCTCCTCTGACAGGAGGCAGCCTTGGAGGGCCGACCTGAGCTGCTGGTGGGACCCCTCCTTCCCTGGGACCCTGAGCTCACTGTGGAAGGGGCAGGATTTGAGGGGGCCCTAGGAGGGAAGCTCTGGGGTTCCCCATCCTGTTCTCACGTCTTCTGCCAGGGCTCACAGCCACTCTCCCAGGGCTGGCTGTGGTGTAAGGACAGGGCTCTTTCTGAGTGAACTAGAGGCCCGGGCTCCAAGGCATCCCAGAGCAGGACCGGGACACCAAGGTGGGCGGTGTGAGGCCAGGGAGGGCCCTGGGCCTGGGCAGAGGCCAGGGGGTTGTTGTGTGGGACGTGGCTGTGCAGGGTGGCCAGGGCCCAGCATGGGACAGGCTCCGTCCGCCCAGCTCCTCGCTGGGTTGCAGCAGCTTCAGCTTGGGAATTGACCTGAAAAAAGATGTGGCTTCTCCCAGGCTGGCCCGGCTGGGAGAGGAAGCTGAGGATCTGGTCAGAGTGGGGAAATGCTGTCACACAGGCTCCCAAAGCCCTTGGCCCCCCGCTGTGACAGCCACAGGCTGCCAGCCAGAGCGCTAGGTGCTGTGCTCAGGGAAATCCATCTCCGAGTGTTTACGGAGCATGCGCTTGCGTGCGTGCCTGCATGTGTGTGTGTGTGTGTGTGTGTGTGTGTGTGAGAGAGAGAGAGAAAGAGAGAGAGAGAGAGAGAGAGAGGGAGAGAGAGGGATCACAGTGCGGTGGGCGGGAATGGGGAGGGGCCCTCACTCTGGTCCTATTTAAGCATGGGCAGCGAGGCAGCACTGGGTGCCACTGGCAGGGAGGTGGCACAGGCACCTTGGCATCCTTCCTGGGCTCCACGTGGCCAAGCACCCTGACCAATGCCTGGTGGCCACTGCTGCAGGAGCTGTGGATTGGCGTGAGTGTGGGGTCCCCAACCCAGATGGAGGCTCGGGGAGCACCCGGGCCCGTGTGAAGCTGGCCCCGGGCAGAGCTCTGCTTTGGGGAGGGTGGTATGTTCAGTGACTCCAGGGTTGGGGACTGAGTGGTCTGCCCAGGGCCCATGCCATGGGTGTGAGTGCCGGCGTTCTGCACTGCCACAGCAGCTGCCCGCCTGCCTTCAGCCCCTGCCCTCGGTCCTGGGCAGCTCCGAGCCTATGGTGGCAGCAGCTCTGAGGAGCAGTGCAAGCAGGCTGGGGAGGGGCAGTTCCCTTCCTCCCCTGGAGAAACAGCTGGCATTCTAGCGGGAGGGACTGGAGTGAGCTCTGAGGGTCAGCTCTGAAACCTCCAGATGGACAGAGCCCGAGTTTGGGGCAAAGGAGAGACTGGAGCATGGGGGCGTCCTACCGGGACCCAGGGTGGTGTTCTGAGTGAGGGTGTGGGGCCACCCAGTTGTCTGGTGAGGAGCCTCACTGTGTGCGCCTGTGGTCTCAGCCCCCTGCCCCACTGACGCATGAGGGAAGTGTCAGCCCTTTGCCTGGGGCCCAGGGCTCCGGGCTCTGCCTGGGGCCTCGGAAGCTCTGGGCGGCCCCAGCCGCCCCACTTGCCTTTGTGTGTGTCCCCTGAGCCCTGAGTTACCGCTCAGGGGAGGCTGGAGGACTGTTGGGGTCACACCTGTCCCAGGAGGGGCCTGGCTCCGTTTACCTGGCCCACAGTGGAGTGGTGCTGTGCTCACCCTACTCCTGGCCGAGCCCAGGGCCCCCCACAGTCACTCTGCCCCAAACAGCCTGGGAGCAGAGCCCACAACCCCCTAGGGGAGGCACCACCCATGCCCTTGGCTTGCCTTGTGGGCCTGGCCTGGGCCCCTTGGGCCCCTCACACCAGCAGTCCCTTCCCTCCCCTCCAGGCTGTGGGGGTTGGGAGGCCAGGCTATAAGAGAGTAGAGCCCTGAGGAGGGGTTCCTGAGCTCCCCCAAACCTTGACCCTGGGCCTGCCCCGGGAGGAGCTCTGTCCTCCAAGCTGCCGCCTGCCAGCACAGCCCACAGCACAGGCTGGCGGGACCACCGTCCCCACAGCCGGAGCCCAGCTCTGAACAGCCCTTGGCTGTGCTCTGAGGCCAGGCTGGGCCTGCTTGGGGTGGGACCCTGTGACCTGGGAGGCTGAGCAGCCTCTGTGCCTCAGCCTCCTCCCGCTCCCGTGAAGCGGGCTGGGGGCTGTCAGTCACACCCTCTGGGCAGCACCGACGCCCAGTAGGTGACCCTTTTGCTGATCTGGCCTCTGTATGAGCCCAGCTCTGAGCAGCCCCAAGGAGGCCACCAGCCAGCTGAGATGGACAGGCCGGGGCTGGGCAGGGGGCTCTGGTTTCCGAGGGGAGGTGGATAGGGTGCCTGTCCGCAGCCTATGTCATCTGGAAGCCACCCTGCCCACCTGTCAGCCCTCAGGGCCCTGGGCCAGGCCTGGGGAGGCCCTGACAGACCCCACCTTCCAGCCGTCCCTAATGTGGAGGTCCAGGTTGGGGGTGGGCTTGCCCAAGGTCACCTGCCAGGTAGTTGGAACGCAGCGAGGCTCAGTGACCTGGTTCCTCGCGTCTCACCCCACCCCTCCCCCGCCCTCCAGGCCTGTGGCCCCTCCAAGCCCTCCCCAGCACCCAGGCTGCGCACTGACAGTATCTCCCAGAGTCCTTGTGGTCCAATAGGAACCACATGCTCTCAGCCTAACATCCGGGCTCTGTGCCCGCAGCCGCGCAGAGCAGACCCTAGGCCTCCAGGCTAGCATCTCAGCCAGCACAGTGAGGGAGGGGCCGATGGATGTTAGATTAGCACTTTCTCTCTATCCTGAGTACCTCACACCCAGGGTCCTGGCTCCCACACATCCAGTCCTTTGGGCCTGCCCACTCGTCAAGGACCTTATAAACATGTTGGCCAGACCCCACAAGGGATGGAACACAGGAGCCCTCACCTCCCCCGCAATTCGGGCTCCTTGCCTTTGGTGATATGACCTGACATTGCTGGCACCCCTGGGCCCTGGCACAGACCACTGCGCGTATATATGATGGTCAGCAAGGGCATTTCAGGCTGTGCAGGTGGGGTTGGAGTGGCAGGGTGTGGGTGACCCCGGGGAAGGGCAGTGTCATGTCGGGAGGGGAAGGTGGCTGAGGGCTGGGAGGAGGGAAGGAGCAGGTTGGGGAGTAGGTTTGGGGCAGGGTGGCCAGCAGGTGGCAGAGGAGGGTCCTGACCTTGGCCCCCAGTCCTGTTCAGGGATCTGTGAGGGGCTGGCGCCCAGAGCAGGGCTGCCTCTGGCCAGCACTGACTGACCCCCATCCCCAGAGCATCCCTCGGGCCCCGTCCTCTGACGAGGAGTGCTTCTTTGACCTGCTGAGCAAGTTCCAAAGTAGCCGCATGGACGACCAGCGCTGTCCCCTGGAGGAGGGCCAGCCTGGGGCCGCCGAGGCCACCGCCGCCCCCACCCTGGAGGAGAGGATCGGTGAGCATCCTGGGGGGGCTCCCTTAGGCCTTGAGGGGTGCAGGGCTTGGGGCTCCCTCGAGCCCTTGCTCCTGGGAGGCGGTGCAGACCAGCTGCAAAGTGCCCCTTGTCACAGTGAGCTCCCGCCCCCGCCTTGCCCAAAACGGGGGAACGTGTCATCATCCTGCCCGCCCTCCGGGACATGTCAGGCACATCAGCGGCGTGGCGGGGGCGTGGGAGGGAGGCTCACCTCCTGGAAGCCCCCTGCAGGCGAGTGTGGGGCCCCTGTACCCCAGGGCTGGTGGACTGGGCTGGGCTCACTGCGGCGGTCAGAGCTCCCGCCAGCCTGGCCAACCTCAAGCCTGACCTTCGGAGGGTCCCTCCCTCAGCCCAGCCGTGGCCCTGCCGGAACCCCTCCCTGGGCTCACTCCCTGCCCCCCACAGCCCAGCCCTCGCTGACAGCCTCCCCCCAGACCGAGGAGTTCTTCGACCTCATCGCCAGCTCCCAGAGCCGCCGGCTGGATGACCAGCGGGCCAGCGTGGGCAGCCTGCCTGGACTGCGCATCACCCACAACAACCTGGGGCACCTGCGTGGTGACGGGGACCCCCAGGAGCCAGGCGACGAGTTCTTCAACATGCTCATCAAGTGCCAGGTAGGCCTGCGGCCGGGAAGACGGGAGTGTGTCCCTCAGGCCCGCCCCTGACCCGAGGTAGCTCAGGGCCCCTTTGCCAGCTGCTGTGGAGGCTCCCAGCAGTCTGCGGGGGGCTCTGGTCCCTCCATGTCAGAATGGGTCTGGGGGACGCCCCCAGAGCAGAGGAATAACAGGCTGGCTCAGTCAGTGTCACCGAGTGCCCAGGGGTGGTCAGACCTGGGGCCTTCCTCACCTGGGACCCCACCCCACCCCCCTCAGAAGGACACCCCAGGGTGTCCTCAGGGTCAGCCGTCCCAGGCAGTGCAAGAGCTCAGAGCCGGCGGGTCACCAGGTTCCCCAGGCCGTGGCCTCAGGGACCCCTCCAGCCTTGTACCTCTGGAAAGAGAAAACCAAGGTCCAGGGCAGCACCCCACAGGTGGGGAGGGAAGGGAGGGTCTCGCTGTCACTGTGGGGTCTGGCGGGCAGGACTGCAGACATAGTTCAGGGTCAGGAGAGCTTCGGTGAAGTGTCTGGCGGGGGGGGGAAGCTGCAAAGTCTGCACACCTGACATTCGTTTCCACAGAGGAGAGGAAAGCGCGGCCCTGGGCCAGCCCAAGGAGCCTCAAAACCAGCCCTCTCAAGCTCCCCCAAAACCCCCCGAGCCCCCCGTCCACACGCACGTAGGCTTCTGCAGCTGCGCCTGCTCCCAGCCCTTCTGCTCCAGACCCTGAAGAGGACCCCAGACGCCTCCTCGTTGCCCTCGGCCTGCCAGCCTCAGCCCCCCGACCCGACAGGGGACCCTGGGGGGCTCCACACCTCAGGCTCTGAGAGCTGCGGCCCCCCACGCTGTCCCAGGGGCGCGTGACCACACCACTGCCAGGTGGTCTTGAAGCAGGCACCCTAGCAGCCCACACCCAGCGCTGCTCCTGAGCTGATTCCATGGGATCGGGGACACCTAAGATGGCCTGACCCACACTCCCGAGCTGGCACTGCTGCTGACAGCAGCCCCTGCCTCAGGGCTGTCAGTGGGGCCACTGACCACTGGGCCCAGGAGCGGGAGCAGCCCTCCAAGGCCTGGGAGGGAGAGGCTGCCAACCAGTGTGTCCATGTCTGCCCAGTCCTCCAGGATCGATGACCAGCGCTGCCCGCCTCCCGACGGGCTGCCTCGTGGCCCCACCATGCCCGACGAAGACTTCTTCAGCCTCATCCAGAGGGTGCAGGCCAAGCGGATGGACGAGCAGCGGGTGGACCTCGCCGGGAGCCCAGAGCAGGAGGTGGGCGGGCCACCCGAGCCCCGGCAACAGTGCCAGCCTGGCACCAGCTAAGGCCTCATACCCACAGCCAGCCAGGCCTGCCCCACCCCCACTCCTGGATGCCCAGGAGTGGGGGGGGCAGTTCACAATAGTCCAGGATGCCCATGGCCCCCCAGAAGCCGAATCCTCCCAAGGCCATAGCTGAGGGCAGGCTCTGAGACCCCAGTCCTTCCCACTGAGCCAGACACTGGGCACACTGCCCCCACGGCGTCCCCTCCCCAGGATGGCAGGCTTGGGCCAGGGCTGCCTATGTGAGGGAGGGCATACTCTGTCCTGGGCCAGCCCCCACATGGTACACTGCTCCCTGCAGGCCTGCCCAGCCCCGCCTTCACCCCTGCCCCTGCCCTGCCCTAGGCTGGGCCTGCAGCATGTCAGCCCCTGACCCGGTGCTGCCCAGACCCTTCGTGCCCTCTCCTTGCCCCCTGCCTGCTCCGTCCTGCCCGGCCAAATGTGAAAACCCTGCTGCCTACCCCACGTCCCTCAAAGATTCTCTGAAGTCTCTTCCCTGGGGGCTGCCAGCTACCTGGGCGTCTGTGCCCTCCCAGAGCTGGTCCCAGGATGGCCCAGCAGACACGCTCACCCCACCCGGCCTCTCACCCCCAGGAGGTACCCCTCCCTCCTACCTAGGCTGGAGGAGCAGGAGAGTCTGGAGCAGACGGGGCAGCGGGGGCGGGCTCCCGCCCCACACAGTCCTCGGGCCCTGGCACGTTAGTCGCCTGCCCCGTGGCATCCTGAATAGGCAGGGACCCCGCGGGGCAGGATGGAGATGAGCAGCGACATCCTCAACTCCAAGCCCTGAAGCCCAGCAACAGATCAGGCCTACTTCCCGGAGGACGGGCCAGCAGCCGGGGCTGCACCCTGACCGTGCCAGCCCCGGGGATGGCATGAGGGCTTCGGCCCAGTGGCCATGGGAGGCAGTGGGTCAGCAAAGCTGGGAGGGGCTCGGCTCAGCCCTGGGGCCCCAGTGAGCACCCAGCCGTCTCCCCCACCAGCTGGGGCGGTGACATCACTACCTTCCCCAGTGGCGGTGGGGGTCTGGTCCCCGAATGCCTGTGTTGGCTCCCAGGACTGGGCAAGAGACAGACCCCCTGGGGAATGTGGCCATCAGCTCTTACCACACCCCTGCCTCAGCCCACCTGCAGGGCCCCCCACCAGCCCCCTTCTGGAGCACTCCTGGGGTGGAGCCTTAGCCCCATGGCCCCCAGGGCACAAGGTGGCACCTCTTTCAACAATGGTACATTAGCCCAGCCCCACGGCCCTGTGGTGCATCCTGGGAGCTGTGGGTGGAGGGCTGGGCTGGGCTCAGTGTGATGACCGCTATGAAGGGGCACAGGGGGCCTCCCAAGCCAGGGCCCGCAGGTGTGGAGTCCACACCAGAGCACCGGCTTCTGCTCCGGCCGCCCGAGAACTTGAATGTACATGCGTATTTATTGCTCTCACGTGTTTGCCATGTGGTCCATGGGTCCTTTCCAACCCACAAGGTACATTTGTTTTTCTGTTTTTCCGGAAAAAAATAAAGTCTGCCAAGTGAAAGCTGTCTGAATTAGTTGCTCTGGGGGGTTGATCCTTTGGGAGGCCCAGTGACTGAGCTTACCTGGATAAGCAAGCCTGCCCCGTGCAAGGGTCTGGGGCTCCGAAGCAGCGCCCACTCGCCCAGGTGCTCCCTGCTCCAAGCCCACTGCCACACATCAGCTTAGTCGTGCCGTGTTATTCAGTGACGGAGGCTGGGGCTCAGGCACCCCCAGGGACACCCAGACCATGTGTCTCCCAAGCCTGTGCCTTCACCCTGAGCCCCACACTGCTCTCCTGGGAGGAAGGGGACAGGAGCCACTGTGGCAAATGCACTGATGCAGGGACATGGGGGCTGGGACCTGCCAGCCCTCCCAGTGGGGCACAGGGGACCCCCTTGGCCTCCTCAGCTGCAGGTGCTAGGCCCAGTGGGCCAAGGAGAGGCCGAGCGTGGCCCCAGGACTCGGGGGAAGCGACAGTCACTGCTCTCCCGCCTCTCAGTGTGGCCCTGTAGGACCGCAGGCTGCGAGGCCCCCTGGGGCATGCCTGGTCACTCTTCTGTGCGCGGAGAGTCAGCTGAGTCAGAGCACACGCGGACGCAAGGCAGGGCTAGCAGCCTGGCTGGCAGTCAGGAGCCTGGAGGAGCGTGGAAGGGAGTGGGCGCAGGTGGGAAGACCTCTGGTGCTAGTCAACACCCAGCAGAAAGCCCCTGCCCCTCAAGGGGCCCCAAACGACCAGGCAGCCAAGTGACGTCTGCCTGGCACTGCCACCCCAGTACCCGCATAGCGGGCTGGCAAGTAAGGTGGGCCTGGGCAGGTCTCCCACTCACGAAGGTGACCTAGCCATCCATGCAGCTGCCAGCACCCACCGGGCAGCACGAGTGTGACGGGGCTGCATGGCACCAGTCAGCCACTTGGAGGCAAGTTGCAGGGTGCATGGCCTCCTGCACCCTTGGGGGGACTGTGTTCGTCCTAACCAGACTCACACTCCAGGACACGCTTTCCAGTCCAAGTCCCCACCCAGGACCCGCAGGCCACCTAAACAAGGGAGGTACAGTGGGCTTGTGACATCACACCCCCCAGATGCCACTGACCTGTGAACCTGATGGAATAGCCTGTGATGGTGCAATTGAGGAAGAAGCTTGGGGACAACACCCCGCAAATATGGACACCCACAAACAAACAGCTGTCATAAGGCACTGTCCCCAGTAGGGTCTGGGAGCCAGGTGGAGGCAGGAAAGGCCCACTCAGCTCACGCCCAGTGACCCACTGCACGAGAGCCCTGCGGACCACAGGAGGCAGGACAGGGGATGGGAGCTGGGAAGCCCCAGAGGGGTGAGGGTGGCACTGGGGAGGGCGGGGAGATGTGAGCACAGCCACAAAGGGAGGTGCCCCGATGGGCCCCAGGGAAGTCGCTAGCCCCGCCATCCAGAGAGTTCTCAGCGCTCCAGAAACCCTGGCACTCCGAGAATGCTATGCAGTCAAATTTAACACTGGGTGCCGTGTCCTCTCAGCAGCTAATGTCCAGGTTAGCATGCTAAAGGCTCTGAGAAGTCCTGCAGGAAGTTGATGTCCTTCAACCTGGCATTCCTTACTTAATGTCCCCAGACACACAACTCATTAATTTGACCCTTTGGAGAGGGTCCTGGACTAGGGCTGGGGAGGAAAGATAATCGGGGGGGGGCGGGGTTTGCTCCTTGAGACGGGGCTGGGGGGCTGGAGAACGGCAGAAGCCTGGAGATGGACATGCTGTTTGAAAAGGTGGGTTTTATTGTTATTCAGGTGTGGTGAGGCCAGCAGGTCAGAAGAAAATGCCACCAAAAAGACAGCTGCTGATACTCATGGGTCCCAAGAGGAGGGAGGATAGGCTGCAGGGGAAGGCATGGGGTGGCTCAGGAAACGGGGGTTAGAGGGGTGTGGGTAAGAGCCTGTATGTGCTTTGCACCAGAAGGCACGGCAGGGCCAGCAGGCCCGGGACCCGCTGGTGCAAACAACCTCCGCCAGTGGCTCTGAGCGGGCGCAGGGGCTGCCCTGGGGTCTGCTGCCTGCCCTGGCTGGGTGTGCTCGCCGATGTCGGTCACTCTCTCTAGGAACCGACTAGCCCCGGGAGGGGCAGTCTCCCCAGGGTCAGCAGGGTCGAAGCATCAGAACGCAAAAGATGAAAGACATGGTCAACACATCCAAACCATAGGCCTCAGTTTCCCCATCCATGAAGGGAGGGTCCCGGGTGACTTTCTGAGGTCCAGCTGTGCACTCACGGGTCCAGCCAGCTCCCTGGGCCTCCCCAAATTCTAGTTCCAACCCTGGGAGCCATGGCCCAGCCCCCCACTCCTGCATATCAATGCCAACCGGTCCTCGGTCCTCGCATGGCCTCAGTGCCTCTGCGGAGGCTCCAGAATGACAGTCTCTGCAAACGGCACAGAAGCTCTGGGTGGGAATAATAGAGGGTTGTTTGCCAATAACAGAGGGCAGGACAGCGGGTAATCGAGGCAAAGCACCAACTGCCAACGCCTGTAAAACAAAGCCGAGGCTCCGAGAGCTGACGGGCGGTAATCAGGAGCTCAGATCCTGCGGGGACCCGAAAGGCTGGCTGATGAGTCACGCTGAAGGTCACGCAGCCCAGAACACTTTCTGGAAATAAACACCCTCGCATAAACACAGGAACATCCTGAGAAGACAGTCAAACAAGGCTGGGAGACAAATCGCACACCCCAGGGGTGGGGGGACCACGAAGGGCACTCAGCCCACCGCCTGTCACATAGCAGCCCGGCTCCCACTCCCCTCACCACCAGAGCCGCCCCCCCCATCGGTGGCCACGGTGAGTAGGCTGGTTTGTGTCCAGGGCACGGCAGGTGGCATGGGAGGGGTCTGTGGGGCCTCCCTGTGTCTGGCCAGAGGGCTGGGACCCACAGGGTGTGCTGATCCAACTCCTAGGAAGCACAGTGGCACTGGCCATCCCTTCCAAGCCTCCCCCCAGAGCCAGCAAGATCGGGGGCCTGACATTCGGGGGCTCGACTAAGCCACCCTGTGCCTGTCCTGACCCTGCTCCTCCTGTCCATACCCCCATCAGGGCGGCACCATGAGCATCTTCATCTGCAGATGGGGAGGCAGAAGTTCAGAGGGGCACAGAGACCTGCCCGAGGCCACACTGCCAATCAGGAGGGGCTCAGACTCCACTTGGACTCGGCCCGCTGTGGGCAAGGACAAGAGCAGTTCCTGTGAGCAGGTGACAGTGGTGGGCCAGGGGCCCTGCAGCTGCACCTGGAGGGGTGCCTGTGAGTCATTCTGACTCCAGAGCCAGGGACCACAGGAGAGCCCAGGCCCATCATCGGCAAATGATGTTTATTGACAAAAACCGACGAGTGCCGAGAGGCCCAGGGCTGAATCCTCCTTCTGGAGGGCGGAAGGCAGGTCAGCGGGGCTCCGCCTTGCTGGGCTGGGTGGGGTCCTGGTCCTCATCCTCTTCCGGAGCAGCGGTGGATTTGGGGGGCCCTACGGCCTCTAAAACCAGCTCCAGGGCCCCATCGCCGGCCACTCGGTGCACCTTCTCCCCTCTGGCCGCCAGGATTTCTTCAATATTCCTGAGGGGGAGGGAGGCGCCATGACACTCTGGGCCCCGTGCTGGTCCTGCACCTCGGTCCCTTGAGGCCATGCAAGGCCAGGCTTGAGCCAGTAGCATGGGTCCCCACACTGGTGTGGCATCGGGGCCCTGGTGAGCAGCTGCTACTACTGTCCCATTCCCAGGGGAGAATGCTAGCTCAGAAGCCAGACTCAACCCTGCGGGGCCACCTGGCCACCAGGCTCCTGACCCCACCCCCGCCACTGCTCTCCACACAGGAGGCCAACACTACAGGCCCAGGGCCCCGTCCACACCACCTCACATGTACCCCCAAGTCTGGTGTGGTCAACCAGCCAGCACCAGTACAGGACAAGGAAGTGACTCGCTACGATTCCTGCCCCATAGCAGGCGCTCAAGAAATCTTTGTAGGGTGAAGGAAGGGACCAAAAAAATGAAAGGAAGCCATTGCTCTAAGAGTCAACCTTGTCTGACCCCCTCACTTTAGAGGCCGGTGGCCCTGCCAAGTAAGTGGGTCCTCTCTGCTGTCAGTGAGGGCACAGGTCAGGCAATGAAGCAGGGCCAAAGGGGTCGGGTCTAGGGCAGGAGATTTAGCAAATAAAAACACGGCCCAGGGCCGGCCGAGTAGCTCAGTTGGTTAAGAGCTCGCTCAAGAGTGTGAACTCTGAGCAACAGCGGTTTGATGCCCATCCAGAGCTGAGTTGCTGCTGAGCTGCCAAAAGGTGGCAGGATGGATCAGCTAACAAAAAAAAAACCACAAAAAAACACGGCCCATACTTGGGGCATACTTACACAAAAAAGTTATCGGTGGTTTATCTCAAGCTCAAACTTAACTGCACCTCCTGTATTGATAAGACTCGAGAAGGAGGCTCTGTACACCTCATTAGGGAGACGGGGGCTCCAGGGATGCTGGGTGGGACCCTTGACCCAGGGCTTACCAGGCCAGCCCTAGAGATACAGGCCGCTGTCCCCTCACCCTGCCCAGGTGGCCTCACCTCTTTCCATCCAGGTCAGAGAACCAGCCCAGGTTGTCTGCGATGATGTGGTGGTTCTGGCAGCCAGGGCAGGTCACAATGACCACACCTTGGTGATAGGCCAGCTTGGAGATTTGCTTGCAGGACCGGGTTCCACAGACCTGGTAGAGAGCACGCGCAGGTGAAGCTATGCACCTAGTCCCGCCCATTCTGAGGATTAGCTCCACCTCAGGGCAGGGCCACCCCTCCTTAAGGACCTGATCCTCCCCAGGTATAAATTCAACCTAACCCATGAACCTAGTCTGCGTCTCCCAGGGAAGCCCCACCCCACTGAGATGGATCCACCCCTCTCCCAGAAGGCCCCGCCCCCAAAGAGAGCTCCACCCCTTAGCTCGGTCCCGCCCCTCTACCAGAAGGCCCCGCCCCCGAAGGGAGCTCCACCCCTTAGCGCGGCCCCGTCCCCTCTACCAGAAGGCCCCGCCCCCGAAGGGAGCACCACCCCTTAGCGCGGCCTCGTCCCCTCTACCAGAAGGCCCCGCCCCCTAAAGGGGTAGCTCTGTTCTGCCAGAAAGCCCCGCGCCTGGGGATAGCGCCACCCTTCCACTTGGTCCCTCTCCACACGGTCCCGCCTCGCGCCCAGGCCAACTCCCCTGCCGCGCCGTACAGCGCCAGGTGCAGGTGCGGCCCGGTCCCCGCCGCGTGCCCACCTTGCAGGTGTAGACGAGCTGGTAGTGCGCCGCCCCGGGTCCCGGCTCTGAGCTCGCGCGCCGCCAGCCCCAGTCCCGTCTTTTCCCTGCGACGGCCGGGCGGGCTCTGCGCCCCCACAACTGCCTCAGGCCGGACCCCCGGGGCCGTGCGCAGCTCACCAGCGTCGACACGCGGCCCAGCGCCGCTCGCAGCATCCCTCCGCCTTCCCGCCCGCCCCGCCCCGCCCTTGCCCGGCGCGGCCGCGCCGCCGCCATCTTGGAAGCGGGCAGCGGCGGAAACGACCGTCCTCGACCTCCGCGGCGGGCAGGCGGAACGCACTCTGCTGCCCCCTGCGGCGGGCGGTGCACGCTGGCGGACGCGGGATTGGAAGGTGCGCGCGAGCAAGGCTTTCAGACGCGGCGGTTGTTTATTTCACTGCATTTCTAACATTGCCGTATACGTCTGCGTTACATAAAGACAGACCACGGCGGTTGGTGCCACAGTGCGCGTGCCGGCGCAGAAACGGGCGCCCCGAGACAGAGGCGGCCTAACGGGGCGGCGCCTGCGCGGGGGTCACGGGCGGTCAGCTCTGGATCCGGGGGCCGGGCGGCGCCCTCCTGCACCACCGGCCGCTAGGAGCCCTCGGTGTCGGTGTTGTCGCTGCCCGTGGTGTTCTCCCAGTCCACCTCCCCCTGTCTCGAGCAGTGCTGCATCTTCCGGAGCGCCCGTTTCCTGCGGGAGAGGCGAGGGCGCAGGTGTGGCCTAGGTGTGCAGTGTCCGCGCGGGGCTGCCCGCCCGCACCGCCCCCCCGCCCGGCGCCCACGCGAGCCCACCTGCGGTAGTTCTCAAAGCTCTCCTTGAGGCGCCGCCGCTCCTTTTCGGGGGGCTCTCCGCCACTCAGGCCAGAGTCCTGGAGGAGGGGGAGACTCAGGCTGTAGCCAGGCCCTGTGTGGACCCTGCCCCCGGCCCAGGACTGCACACGGAGTCCAGGGAGCCCATAGCCCCAGCTCCGCACGGGAACAGGCTCCTCCTCTGCGCCCTGTGCGCCCCCCCTGAGGGGAGCAGTGTATGGGTCCTGCCTTCCAGGTGACAAGACAGCCCAGCGCACAGCCAGCTTCGGCTGGGCTCCAGGCCAGTGTAATGAGGTCCCTTTGCAGTCGGGACTCCGGGGCAGTGAAGGGTACCCGTTAATGCTGCGTGGCCCGCACATAAGACAGGCTTTCCATGGCTGCTGCGCCTGAGCACAGTCCTGTCCTGGCTGCCCTTCTGCCCACTGCTTTGTCCAAAGAAGGGGGCGGTCAGCTTCATGTTGCAAACACTGCACCCCAAGAACTCATGGGCACAGACCCTTGTAGTCCCCCCCACCCCCCACCCAGCGTCCAGGTCGGGGAACCACTCTCCTCTCACACTGAGGCCCACACCAGGGGAACCCCAGGGCTGCCTTACGTTGGGAGTCAGTGAAAGTCGCTCCTTCTGCAGAGCCTCGAAGGGCTGCCCCGGGCTCTCCACGTCAGCCGGGCCTCCTGGAAAGGACAGTTGTGCCTGTGGGTCCTGCCCACCCGTGGGGACCAAGCTCAGCATGGCCGACACCTGCACCTCCTCACCCCTGATGCTGCCGGGCCAGTCCTGCACCATCTCCTAGGTCCTCGCTTGGACCCCACAAGGACTCGCAGTGTCTAGAACAGGGGGCTGGGGCTCACTGCTCGCTCCCGGAAGGCCCTCTGCTCCCACCACAGACCTCTGCTCCTCCTGAGCAGGAAGGCTCAGCCCTTCCTGGGTCAGGGCTGGCTCCCCTGAACTGGCCATGATGGAGACTATGGACTCGAGAGAGTCCCAGGCCCTCTCCCTGGAGCCGACACCTTCCCCTCCTCGTCCTCCAACCCTCAAGCCACCTTGGCTCCCGGAAGGGGCCACCCCACCCCTGGGCTGGTTGGGCTTGCAGCCTGCCAGGTCCTGCTCGCCTGTCCCCTTGGGGTGCTCAGTGGCCTCCAGCTCAAGTCTTTGGGCGGTAGCAGATGGCCAGACCCCTCACTTCTCTATTTGGTGCCCCTTCTTCCTCTTTTTGCCCCTTTAGAAGCTGGGGTCAGGCCTGATGTTGAGGAAGTCTGTCTGACTCCCCACGCAACCTCTGCGGTGGCTCCTCTGCCCTCCCCCCCCCCCAGCCCAGCAGAGGGCTCTTCCCAGACTCTGACGCCCACCTTCAGAGAGCCCCTCGTCCCCATGCCACCCCTCCGGGCCATCTGGCCTCCCCTGCGCAGCCCTGTCTCCTGGCGGGCAGAGGGCCCCTGCCGCCGGAGGCCCCCAGCGTCCTGTCACCCAACGACAGCCCCTCTCCCTCTCCCCAGCTCTGTCTCCACTCAATATGGCACACCTGGGCGTGGCTTACTGCTGCCTCCTCCACTCCAGAGGAGGCTCAGGGCAGGAGGTCCCAACCCTGCGGTCTCGGGGCCCAGAACAGACACTGATGGAGGCATGTGATCTCAGGGCTAGCGGTGGGGCATGGACCCTGCAGACCTGGCCCCGGGTTTGACTGGGACCCTCGTTTGCTCACAGGAGGACTGTGGGGTTACTTATCCCTCTGAGCCTCTGTGTCCCCCTCTGTAAAGTGGAGTTGTGAATATCAATGGAACAGGGCTAGCGCATGTCCCAAGGCTGCACCAGCCACATGGGGCTGTGTGTGCCAAGGGTCAGGGCGCCTCCTCAGGGTGACAAGGAGGCCGCATGGCACACAGGCACCCCTCCTCACCTTTGTCTGAGAGCTGGGTGTCCTCCTCCAGGTCCCGGGGCAGTGAGAGCTTCCAGAGAGACGGGGCAGTTGGTTAGACCACAGCCGGTCCTGGGACAGCCTAGCCCACTGCACTGCCCACCCCGTGCTGCTCCCCCATCGCTGTCACCCTCTGCACAAGCTTCTCAGGGACCTCTGCTGCCCAGCCAGGCCAGGGACCGGCAAGAAGGCTCCGCCACGAGGGCCAGGGGGTGGGCACTGCCCAGGCCTGTCCTGCCCTGAGCACACAGAGCCTTGGCCGGTGCCAGCTGCTCTCCCCTCCACCTGGCCAAGCGCCGGGAGGAGCGGTGACGGCTCAGCTCCGCAGAGCCAGCAGGCAGCTGAGCTTCTGGAACTTCCGAGGGACGGGTGTGGGGCTGTGGTCTGACAGAAGCTGTGGCCGGGAGCCCACCCAGGGGTCACACTCACCTCCTGAGAGTTCCTGGGTGAGCTGTCCTCCAGGTCGGAGCTCTGTGGACACAGAAGAGGGACTGGTCAGCAGGCCCTTGGGGAACCGAGCCTCTCGGGCATGGGGTGGGGTGGGGCGTGGTGAGGGGGTCCCAGGCCCCTGCCCAGAATGGACCCTCCTTGGTCCTTACCACACCCAGAGCAGCCTGCCAGGCCCTGAGCTACATGGCAGCCCACACCCCACCACCGGGAAGACCTGGGGACCTGCCAGGGCCATCAGAGAGCAGTGGAGGAGCCAGGCCAGGGCCCAGGCTGTCTTGGGGTTCCCCGGGGTGGCACACCAGGGCAAGTGTCTCCAGCTGCTGCCGCTTGAGCCTGCCTTCCATGGCCAGCAGCCGGCCCTCGCGCTGGAACAGCTGCAGCTGCAGCTCGTCAGCCTTCTCGCCCAACTCCCGGACCCGCTTGCGCAGCCCGTCCTTGTCCTGCAGGCTCCGGGCATACTGGGTGTGCAGCTCCTCCCGTGACGTGATGGCCTGTGGGCAGACCCTCGGTGTGGGTCCCCGCACAACGCACCCAGCCCCATCCCCCGGCGCTTTCCGTTCTCAGGGCAGCCGGCCAAATCCTAGCAACATCCCCAGCCAGCTGCCAGCTGCCGGCTTCCAGCACCAGGTGGGCCGGCCCGGCCTCTTCCTCTTCCGTCTCGTCTCCATGGACATATATTAGGGTTTGGGGATTGTCACCATAACAGAGGCTCATGATGGAAAGTGTGGGCAGTTCAGAAAAGACAAAGATGCGTAAGTCACCACACAGCCCGCAGAATCGCCCCTGCGGCCCTGTGTCTCCGCAGGCCCTGTGTGCCGTGGGAACATTCTGCACACTTCGTGCCCCACGCCTGGGTTTATAAATCTTGGCTGTGGCCTGATATCATGACTGTTGACGGCCATGCGAGATTCTTTAAAACGAATGCTCCGCACGTTATCATACCCACCCCCACAGGACCCTGAGGTGTGAGAGACCGGATGTAGACATACCCCACGGCCAGACCACGTATGAGGATGGGACTTGGACCCATGACCTGAGCTACCAGCCGTTATCTACAGCAACCAGCCCAGGAGGCGTGGCTGCCACTCAGAGGTGTAGGAAGCCAGCCTGCCATCTCCAGCAACAACCTGGGGAGCCCACCCATGTCCCCTGCAATGATCAGCCCCCAACAGCCAGGACTCAACTAATAACCGAGAACGTCCCCACGTTTGGGCCCTGCTTCCACTGACGACTAACCAGAGACAGCTGCTCACCTGACAGTCCAGCCCCAGCCTCCCCGGCACACCTGGCACCTGCCGAGGTGACTGTCCACACGTCTGCCTGCCTGTGAGGCTCAGCCAGGTGCCAACGAGGGAGGCGCCCTGCTCCGGCCAGCCCACCTCACCGGTGCCGCCCACTTCTCACCATTGTGCATGGCCTTGAAATAAGCACCTACATGCCAGGTTCTCTCCGCTTTGCTGCTTTTCCCAGGAGAGAGGTTTCTAGAAGTGGGATTGCTGGGTTGAAAGGAACCTATGGTTTAAGACTCCTGACACATTGCCAGTTACCCTCCACAATGTCACTGAAGCGCCAACTGTACTTGACTAGAGACGACCCTGCGATGTGACGGGAACAGTGAAACGGGTGCAGCCCGATGCCTCCCGTCCACAAGAAGGCAGCCGGCCAAGGCGCCCATGGTTTTTTAAGCTAAAAATCTTATTTGCAAGACAAGACAGATAGCTTTTATTTTTGTAGAACAAAAACGAAACTATATGAACGTTGAAAAAGTGTGGGAAGTCCAGTGGAAGGTGGAAGGTGGGTTTCCTGGCAGTGGGCCGGGGCCGAGGTGGAAGCCAAATTAACTTCACTACTTAAAAACCACTGGGCCGGCCGAGTAGCTCGGTTGGTTAGGAGCTCGCTCAAGAGTGCGAGCTCTGACTTATATTAACCAATTAAAATAATGCTACCATAAACAACTCTAGGGGGAGAATAAGCTCTACATTTTTCTTAAATCGATGAGGGAGTACAAGTTATAATTGTGTATTATTTTCAAGTATGCATTGAAATAATGTAGTATAACTTTTCTGGAGTGCAATTTTAAGACTAATCCATGCAGATGTTTGTGACAATTGTAAAAGATTCCTTATATGTGTAAAAAAAAAAAAAAGAGTGCAAGCTCTGAGCAACAGCGGTTCGATTCCCAGCCCGAGCTGAGCTGCCAACAGGTAGCAGGATGGCTCAGCTTAAAAACAAAACAAAACAAAAAAAACCCACTTTGACAACTGCCCGTCCCCAAGGGCTGGCCATTGTGTTGGCAGCGGGTCGGGTGTGGGAACGGCCCCCTCCTTGGCCCTTGCCCGCCGCAGGTGAGGCGCTTACCTGGTCCCGCTCGATGGCGACCTCCTCCATCTGCTGCAGGACGGCCTCCATGCGCTCCTTGTACATCGTGGAGTCCTTCCGCAGAGCCAGGCACTGCAGCTCAAACATCTCCCTCTCCTCCATGCACTGTGGGAGACGGCAGCTAGACCCTCTACCCTCGGGAGGCCGAGAGCCCCTGGAGCCCCGCCAGCCCTGGCCTCCAGACCAAAGGTCGGCCCTGACCACCCTGGGGGAGAGGGGCAAGGACTGGGGTGACAAGCTCAGGCCCCTATGCCTCCAGGAAGGGGTGAAGTAGGGGAGTGGGGCTGAGAGTTGAGCACCCCCATTCCAGGCACTGTGCGGGCAGCCTGGCTGGGGACCTGGACCCCATGTGCACCCGTCCTGGTCATGTACCCGGGCACGCAGGGCCTCGCCCCGGCGCAGGTCTTTGCGCAAGGCGAAGATGGTGTTAGCCTGCTCCTGCTGGTCTCGCAGCGCCTGCCGCCAGTCCTTCTCCAGCACCTGGATGTAGGGGCTGCTCTTGTCCGGCTTTCCCTCCTGCGGATGGCCAGGGACAGGGCGGCAGGGCAGGGCTGCGCAGGGCCTGGCTGGGGGCCCCACCCCGCCGGCCACTGCGCCTGCCCCGCCGGGCCCTACCTGGGCGGAGGCCTCCAGCTCCTGCACCCGGGCCTGCAGCTGGGCCTTCTCCTGCTGCAGCTCCCACAGCAGCTCCTGGCTGGGCCGCTGCTCCATGGCGTGCCGCAGCTTCAGTGTGTGCTTGCGCTCCACCTTGCAGTCATCCTCCGCCTTCATGAGGCTGTGCTTGAGCCGGTCCACCTGCGGGGCGAGCCCGTCAGCCGGGTGGACCCTTCCCATGGCAGCAGGGCCCACCCCTAGGACCGGGGCGCACCTCCAGCTGCAGGTCGCGGTTGCGCATGAGCGCGGCGCCCTTCTCCTCGCTCTGGCGGGCCAGGCGCATGGCCAGGTCGTAGTTCTCATCCTTGCAGCGCTTGAGCTCGCGGCTGCAGGTCTCGCACTCCTCCTTGAGCCGCTGCACGCGCTCCTGGTGCTTGCGCAGCAGGCTGTCCTTGACACGCAGCTCCTTGATGAAGTCGTCCTTGGAGCTCAGCAGTGCCGTCAGGTCCTGCACCTTCTTCTGCAGCTTCATGACCTCGCTCATCAGCAGCTGCGTCAGGCCTGACTCCCCGGACGCGTCTGCAGATCGGGCAGGCATCAGGTGGCCGCCTGCTCCATCACCGCCCGGGCCCCTGGACTTGACCAGCAGCTCGTGGATCCAGATAGCTGCTGCCCCAGCCCAGGAAATGGACTGAGACTCTGACTCAGCTCCTGGCCCCTGTGCCTGCCCCCCTAGGACACAGGGGCTGGGCGCCCATCCCCCGCTGTCTAATTCTTATCTCGATTGTGAGACCAGGAGAGCGTCGCCTCATTCTTGCTGGGACCAGCAGGCCCCTGCCCTCTCAGGGCAGCAGCTGTGGCTTTAAAGGGTCAAAGGGTCTTCTGGGCAGGAGGCTCTGGACGGTGAGTAGGCCTGTGTTCCCCTTCCTCCCACCTGCCCTCCCTCCAGAGGACGGGCCCCCCTTTTCTCCAGCCTCTGCTCCCTCCACCAGTGTTAGAAGAGAGGCGGATAGGAGCAAGGACCAGCCACTCTCCTCGGGTGCACTTCCCATGCATTGCTCCCTCATTTTCTTTCATCCCCATTTTATCCATCAGAGACCAGACAGGTAGGGGCCTGCCAGCCCTGTCCCCATGCCCACCCCATAAGGTCCGCCTGCTCCTGGATCCTGGCCCTGTGTCCCCCATGCCGCCCTGCCCTCCCAATCCATCCCTGCCCCCATGCCCCTCCAGCCCCAAGTGTGTGGCTCCACCCCCATCCCGCCCGCCCTGATGCCAGCCTTGCCCCACGCCTGGTGTCTCGTCCTCACCGATGATCATGGAGAAGACCCGGGCGGGCTCCTTGCCGGTTACCTTCTTGTAGAGCTGTGGGTAGTAGAGCTCCAGGCTCTCGAGGAAGGCCACGTAGCCCTTATGGCCAGTCCGCTGCAGGATGTCCAGGAGCACACCTGCAACCCAGAGAGGCCTGGCTGGGCCCTTGGAGCGGAACGGGCCCGAGACGCAGACAGCTGCTACAGGCCCAGTCCTGGGCGGGAGCCCAAGTGCTGCCTGCCCATCCCTTGGCTCCCCCAGCAGCCTCAGCTGTGCGTGGAGGTGCTAAATGCCAAGCCCCAAGCAGACAGGACCGGTGGGGGCTGGGGTGCACTGACCCACTTTCCGCTTGCGGATGACCAGGTTGGGGTCGCTGAGCACCTGCTCCTCATCGTCAGGGTTCAGGACCTTGCACTGCCGCAGGTAGGGCGTGATGCGGGAAGGGTCGATGATGGAGATGAGCTTCACCCTGAAGCCCTCCAGGGTGCTCCAGCACTCGTCCTCATTCTCATAGTCCGACATGGCGGCAGGAGCGGCTGGAGTCTGGGGCAGCAGCTGGGAGGGACACCCGTTCACTGGGCAGTCAGTCCCAGCCAGGACTCAGGCCTGCCATCAAGGTGCCCGGCCAGGGCTCTGGGCAGAGCCTGATGAGGAACTTGGCTTGGTGTGCAGCCTCACCCCCTCACACTCCTATCTCGCCGACCAACAGAGGGAGGCAGCAGTGACCCTGCTCCCCGGCAGCTCACCGGAGCAGCCCTCCCCAGCCTTTCCTGGGCTAGGTGCACGCACACGCACGCACACACGCACACGTGCACACTCACGCACACGCACGTACATGCACACACACACGTGCACACACACACACCACACATATACACACACCACACACGCCACATGCGCACACACGCGCACACACGCACACATGCACGCGCACACAAACGTGCACACGTGCGCGCGCTCACATGTGCACACACGCACACGTGCACACAAACACGTGCACACGTGCACACACCACACGCGCACACACCACATGCGCACATGCACACACACACCACACACACGTGCGCGCACACACACACACACACACACACACACACACGGCCACCTGGGCTCTCTCTCCCAGAGTCACTGAGTGAGTGCGGGGACAGGTGCTAAGGAAACACTGTCCTCTGTACACGGAGCTCCATCTTGCCTCCGCCCGCTCCTGGACACGCCCAAAATGCCATGGAGCTGGAGCTGGCAGGGACGGCTGCCTCCCACCCATGGAGATGTGGGCCGGAGGAGCCCTGTATGCCGGGTGCTGCCTGCTGGCACAACCTCCCTGGCAGGTGTGGGTTGGGATGATCCAGCCCCCGGCCAGCCAGCGCCCAGGCTGGGGTCAGAAGCACGCTGGCAAGTGACCCTCCCACCTGCACACCACCCTGTGCTGTGTCAGACTTCCTCATTCCCCGACTTAGCGCCCACTCACGTCCCAGTCCTGTCCCCTCCTTTCCTTCCGGTGGTCGGCTGGTGATGCAACAGTCACCCAGCAGCTTCCCAGGGCTGGCCCGCTCCGAGTCAGGCTCAGTGACACTGTGCTGTTTGGGAGGGTGACTGTGGATGCCTACAGGAGAACCAGGGCCTGGGCACACTGGGAGGGGCTGTGGTGTCTCCCAGGGCCGGCCCGACATGCTCCAGGCGCACAGCCACCTCTGGGCTCCTCTCATGCCTCCCAGATGAGGCCTGCTCTAGACCACAGGCTCGGGGACTGTCACATCAACTGTCTGACAAGGAGACTACCTATGTTGGGACCACCCAGTGCTGTTCCCTTCTGCCAGCAGGCGGCAAACCACTGTCTCCAGGGCCAGGCCAACCCCTTCTGGGGGATCAGGACAGACACCCTGGCCTGGCCACCTCAGACAGAGCCTTCAGCCCCCAGGAGCTAGACTGCACTCCCAGAGGTACAGGTGGCAGCGGGCGTTTCTCCGACTTGCGCTGTACCTGGTCACCCTACCCGCCCGGCAGCAGCCAAGGCATTGAAGAAAAACAGTGGCTCATTGGACTGTCCTTGGGACCTTTGGCCATTCCCGGCCTTTCTAGCCTGAAATGCGCTGGTCCCACACCTGCCACCCTGCTGCTGATTCCACTGAAACGCACAAGCAGGTGCCAGTGGCTGTGAAGGGGACGGGGCAGAAGAGCGGGGCCACTTGGTGTCCTGAGATATTTGCTCCAGGACCAGAGCTCCCTGCCGCAGAAGTCCTGAGCAGAGCCGCAGTCTTCCCAGCCACCTTTCAGAAAACGCACCAGACCAGCCTACCTCAGGGTCCTGAGGGGGTCCCCACGCTGCTGGACGCTGGCCAGCCAGGGCCACCGCGATTCAGGGGCAATGGGAGGTGTGCCCGCAGCCGCCCGGGAGGAAGCCTGTGTGCTTCCTGGTGGCGGCTTAACTCCAGAGGCCCGGCGAGTCCTCCCGTTGGGGGATGGTCCCAGGTGGCTGCCTTCCGATTGGTCCAGCCAGCCCGGGAGGAGGGGCAGAGGGAAGTGGAAGTTGCTGGCTCTCAGAGGAAAGCTGCTGGGAGCACCCCAGCCCTGGCACCCCACAAAGTGTAAGTTTGAGCAAAGGCTCTCCTGGGGGCCTAGACGAGGCTGATCCACCCTCCCGTCCACTTTGGTCGGGACGCAGGCTTCTGGAGGCTTCTCCAGCAAGGGGTGCTCTGTGCTGACACCTTGACCTCCAGCAGCCTGGTGGCAGCTAGGCATTCATGTCAGGTGTGGGTGGGGAGAGCTCAGCAGGGACCTGAGGGCATCACCCCCGACTTGGCCCCAGCTGAGCGCCCCCACACAGCCAGGCCAGCACGGGCTTTGGTCACGTAGGGTCTGCAGTGTGGTGTCCAGAGGGTATGGGGCTAGGGAGGCCGCTGCCGCCTGCGGAGCCAGTGCCTGGGCCATGCCTGCCCGACGTGGCGCCAGCCCACCCTCATCCCTACCTGGGAGCATTACCACTCAGCAACTCCTCTCCACCAGCACTTATGGGACAGTGGCAGCAGGCTCCCAGGACCCCGAGGCCACTCCCCATGGCCCCTCAAGTATTTCCGAAGGGTGTTGAGCACAGGGCGAAGCTCAGGCCACTGGCCACAGCACCAGTCCTCTGTGGGCCGTCGGACTCCCCGAGCCATCGCCTCACCGGTGCAGCCATACTGGTTAAACCAAATGCCACTTGCCAGGCTGAGGTAACAGCTACTGGAAGGGCTGTGGCTGGAAGGGCAGGACAGGCACCTGACTGGTACTCCTGGCCCCACCTTCTTGAGGCACCACACCCCCCGCCTCACCGCTGCCTGATGTCCCCTGGCCCCTCAGCCTGTGTTCCTCTGCCTCCTGGCCCACAGTGGGCAGTTGCTGTTTGGCCGAAACCTCGGGAGTCCTCGCACAACCAGGTGCTGCTGAGTGGTGGTGGCAGCATGGTGGCCTGGCCCTCCCAGAGGACGGCAGGGGCCTGACGTCATGCCTGGGGGACTGGGAGCAGAGCCGCCCCCAGGCTGGGCCTGCCACAGAAGTGGACGCTGCGGCTCCGCTGTGACCTGATGCTCTGGCCTGGGCCAAGCCATCGACCACCCAGTTTCTCCACTTGGCCAAACGAGGCTAACAAAGGGGCACTAAGTAAGAAACGTCATGTTCTCTGAGTGTGTTAGGGTTACGCTACACATCAGGAACAAAGCTATCTGGCGAGTCCCTGCACGTTCGGAAATTAAATACACACCTGTCAGTGACTCACAAGTCAGAGGAAGTCACAAGGAAAACTGGAAATTGGTGGGATGCACGGGTACGAAGCACGCACGTGCACACAGGCAACCAAGTGGCAAGTGGCCCATGGGAGGTGTGACGCGTGAAGTCTGGTGGGAGTGAAGGGCAGACGGGTGCCGCTATGGAGGCCAGGGGCCATGACACACACTGGGCACACTTATTTTATTTCTCTGTTGGAAACTTTCGATAAACTGGTGAAGCAGTCACGAGAGCGAACCGGAGCCATGTGCCTCAGAGGCTGTAAACTGAACCGCAGCCGTTGTCCTTGGGACAGAGGGATGGAGACTGTGCTGGGACTCGGTCCTATGCTGAAGAAATGCCCACATAAAAGGAAGAGCGCCTGGTTGGCCAGTGTGGTCTGGACAGCAGAGGAAGTAGGTCCCCCTCATCTCTGCAGATGGCTGGCGGCCACAAGCACTTGTCGTGAAAAGGCTGCGGCCTCTCCCCCGCCACGGCCCCGTGGAGGCCGAACCCTTCTGCACGCCGCCTCGTATCTCAGGACTAAGACCCCAAGAGCCTGTGGCTTGCTTTTTAATTAAAAAAATAGGACGTTTACTTAATTCCTTCAAATATTCCAATTTGCACTTGGGTCTAGCTGATCCCGTGACAAGGCGGTCACTACTGGTCCCTGGCCGCTTTCTCCTTTGGGGTGGGTGCTGGGTTCCTGGCCGGCCGGCCCCACCCCATTGCAGCAACTGTGGGCGTCCAGGCCGAGAAGTCCTGGAACACAAGGACACCTGGGTAGAGGGGTGCCCTGGTCCCAGCCAGACCCCCCCAGATGGCCCTGTAGAGGAGCAGGAACCAGAGTGGCACTGCGCCCCGTGGGGGAGGACAGGCCATGGAGCCAGAGGGTGGGCTGCAAGTGTGCTGTCCCCTCTGTGGTGCCCCGCCCGCTCCTAGCCCACACTGCTCAGAGGAGCCAGCTCCTGCCTCTGGGGACCTGCTGGCCACGGTGTCCTCCCTTGCTCGAGTCTCAGTTTCATGAACTCCACCCATGTGTGCTGAGGACCTGCTCGGTGCCTGCTGTCCGGGCTCACGTTCACAGGCGACAGTGGACAGTGCATGGCCAGACAGTAGGGAGGAGCAAGTGCATCAAGACAGACAGACATCGGCACGGTCATGCCGCCGTAGGCAGGTGGTCAGGGAAGGCGTGTCTAAGGAGCTGACCGCCAACAGAGACCAGAACGGAGGGAGGGGACATCGGGAGGGAAGTGCTGGGAGACAGATGTGGCAGCTGAGGGCTAGCCGCCCCCCCAGGAGGGTCTCCCGACCCTGGACCCACCCTAACACCACAGAACCGGCTATGAGCTGCCTGAGGGTGCACGGGTGGCCTGGCCCCGCGTAGCCCGTGCGGAGCTGAAGCAAGGGGTCCTGTCCCTTCCGGAGCTGGGCACCTGCCCCCCACACTCACCCTGCTGCTCACAGCAACCTCCTCCGCTTCCGGGCATGTCGAGCGTGCCGGGTCCTGAGCACGTGCAAGTCATCAGAATCGTCTGGGCAGGAGGGGGCAGAGCCCTCGCCAGGGTCTGGGGCTCCCTGAAACGAAACCCAGGTGTGGGGGGGGCAAAAGTGACCCTCCAGCCGGGATGGGCAGGGAATGGGTGGCAGTCAGGGGCAGCAAGGGGGCCAGTGGATGCCGTGTCCCCCAACACCTGGACAGGCAGCTCCTCAAGCTTGTCCCTGTTGAGACCGAGCAGCTCCCAGGCGAACTGAGGTACCAGCAGCAGCAGGTGACACCACCACATGCAGGGGCGCGGCAGGCAAGGAACAGAGGGACGCTGCCCTGCCTGGGGCCACACGTGGGCTCTGGCTTTCTGCTGACCTCGCCCTCACCTGGGGTCGCCAAACCCCTCTGAACAGCTGAGAGCCAGCCTTGTGTCATGGTTCCACCAGCTGGGCCAGTAAGGGCAGTGACCTGGTAGGGGTGGCGAGGCTGCACACACAGTGGGGGACAGGGACCTCGTCCCTGTGACATCTGGAGTCCACTGAACATCAGCCCAGAAGACAGCCCTGGGGCCCCTAGGCAAGGCGCCTGGGGAGGGAGGCGACACTCCCAGCAGCCCGGGCTGGACCGCGCCTGCAAGGAGGGGGCACCGGCTCCAGCCACAAGCCCTGCCTCCCGTGTGGTCATGGCCGCCCCAGGTGGGGAAGTGGAGGGACTGCTTCCGGAGGCGATCTCTGGGAGGGCCACCACACGCTCCCCCACACCCACAAGGGCTCTGGACGGCCTCCCTGACACGGCACAAAGTGCCTAAGGTGGTCCAGCTCTCCTGCTCAGCCTGACAAGAGGGATGGAGGCGGCCCTGCTGGGGACTCCTGGGCACACACGGCCACGGAAGATGTGGGGACACCTTCCCGCATGTGTTTGTATCAGGTTTCTGGTTGGGAAATCAGGACGAGGGTGCTGCCTCCTGACGGGGATGGTGCCGGAGCTGACACCTGGAGGGGTCTTGGCGTGCACAGAGTGCCCGTGCAGGGCTGCCTTCTGCAGGGCTTCCGGCCCACACAAAGCGGGGGAAGCACAGAGCCCCTGGTCAGTGTCTCCCTCTGACAAGGCTGCAGCCCCCGGAGCAGCTGAGGGTCTCCCCATGTTAGAAGTAAGGCTCCTTCCCCCACGATTCCCACACTGGCCGAAAGGGGAGGCAATGGCTGCACCACCTACACGCCACCGGGCTGCCGGGAGCCAGTTTCCTCCTCCCCAGAAACCCGCCAGCTGGCTCTCCTGGCCACGACTTCCACCTGCTGTCCCCAGCCCCCACCCCTGCCACTCTGGGCAGGCCACACACCGCAGGCAGGCAAGGGCGCCCTGGGGGGGGGCAGGGAAGTGGGGCGAGGGCTCTGTGCCCACAGCCACCTACCTGAACAGGGGCTGTGGCCGCCGGCCCTTCTTGGGGACTGCCGCTTGCCCTGCAGCCCAGCTGCCTGTGGCCATCAGGGAGTTCCAGCTGCCCTAGGCCGTCGTCTTCGCTCTTGGCATCCTCGCTCTCCTCGCTCTCAGGGTCCGCACTCATGGCTGCTGACAGGGTGGTGGGGACACCATGAGGGGGCAGGGTGGCCAGAAGCGCCGGGAGGGTGAAGGTCGCCAGGAAGCGTGCCTTCAGCAGCAGGTAGGCCGGGTTGCACTGCAGCTGTCCCAGCGAGGGCTGCAGGGCTCCCGCTGCCCCACGGGGCGCCACCAGGGAGGCAGCTCTGCGCTCCAGCGCCTTCTTGTGGAGTAGGAGGCCGGACAGTGTGCGCAGGCTGCACAGGGTGGGGGGCTGGTAGGGCAGCCTGCTCCTCAGGGGGGACATACACACCCCCCGCTGTCCCCTGAGCCACTCCCGCACGGCCACCTCACTCTCCTGGGAGAGGAGGCCTAGGTCCAGGGCACCCTTCTCAGGCCCAAGCCGGGGTGTGGCATGCCTCTCCAAGTCCGGAGGCCCCCTGGTCTCCCCTTGCTCTGAGGGGGACTCCAGGGTCCCTCCCAGGCCATTTTCTGGGCCAGCACTACCTCGTGGAGGCAGCTGGTTGGGCTGTGCTTTGGGGTGGTCAGCCAGGAACACAGCCTGGGAGCCTGTCTCCCCGGCTACTTGGGCCTCTCCAGGGGAAGAGAGTCCCCCAGAGGCACAGGTCCTGTCACTGTCCACTTCTGCAGGGCTTTGGGATGGCAGGGGCGTTGAAGGGATCACGAGGTCTGTCCTGGAAAGAGGCTCCGATTCCGTGTCCGTGCTGAACAGACCCTGGCCTGCCTGAGTCTCAGTCACGGAGGATGACAGAGTCACCAACAGCCCTTTGGGGTCAGGCGTCCCTGCTGGCTCGGAAAGGCCCACCATGGCTGGCATGGGCACAGAGAGCAGCCCTTGGGCTGTAAGCACCAAAGTGACAGGCAGAGGGCCATTGGCTGCCATGTGTGGTCCGCTTCTGTGGGTGCCCAGGGCTGGTGTCAGGCTGAGGGGCTGCACGGGCAGCTGAGTGGGGCTGGGGGCTGCAGGGAGAAAGGGTGGCGCCTCAGGCAGCCCCTGCTTCCGGGACGTGGCAGGGGCCTGCGACTGTCCAAGGCTGCTCAGGTGGCAGCTGAGAGGGACCTGGCCGGGGCCCAGAGCCGGGGCCCTGGACGCAGCAGGGCCAGCTGGGGCCGTCACAGCCACAGTGGAGGCAGGAGCAATGGCCAAGGCTTGCAGGGTGGGGGGTCCCTTGTCTTTGGCCGAGGCCCAGGAGCCTGAAGTACTTGGACTGGCTGCTGCGGGGGCCCCAGGCCCAGAGAGTGCCGAGGTTGGGACGGCCGGCCCTGTGGCTGGAACGCCATGGGAGGCCAGCGGCAGAGGGGGCTGGAGGATCACTGGTGAGACCAGCAGCTGGGGCGGGAGAACCACGGGGCCCTGGGCGGCCTTTCGGGCTCGGGCCTCTCGCAGCCGCTTCTCCCGAAGCAGCTCGGACACAGTCTTGGGCTTGGGCCGAGGGCCGCACGCAGCCGGAGGGGGCGCCTGCGGAGTGGACGCGGCCCGGCAGGTCTGCAGCCCCGCATTCCCTCTGCAGCTGGAGCTCTTTGCAGCTTCTCGGGCTGGCACGTTCTGCAAGAGGCCACCTGAGGGAGAACAGAACGCGCTGATGGGGTCCGGGCGACTGGTCCAGACACAGACCTGGCCCCGGTGTCCTGTCGGGAAGCTCTCCCGGTGGGCAGCTGCTGGGCATGTGGAAGATGGAGCCTGGCATCCAGGACAAGAAGGGCTCCTCAGTCGGGCCGCGCGTTCCCAGACCACCCCACACACGGCATCAGCAGCCCCTGCGCCCGCTGCACGCCAGCCAGAGCCAGCACTGTGTGGAAGCCCAGCCCTCGCCTGCTCTACACTTCACCCCGAAATCTCGAACATCTTCAAAACCAGGCTGCTGGGCACCCCTGCCCACCCCTCCTTGCATCCTCTCTCAGCACCCCAGACCTTGCCCGGTTCTGCTGGTATGGTGGGCCTGGCGGCCGGCAGCAGGAGAGGGCCTGCCTCCCACGTCTGTGTTGGGGAGGCCACAGGGGTCACTTGCTGTGCTCGCAGGTGGGTGCCCAAGGAGGGTCCCCTCCACCCCCTGGCTCAGGCCAGCCAGGCTCTCGTCCCTTTTATAGGACCCGCACAAAGAACCCTCGTCGGGTCCCTGGCCGTGCTGTTCCCAGCCTGGAACTCAAAGCCCGGGGAGGTCGGGCCTCTCCCTATGAGACAAAATGGTCAAGAGAAAGGGAGAGGCAGTACCTGGGGTGCTCCGGGCACTCTGGGGCTCCTGAAAAAGAAGGGAGAGAATCAGCATCTCAGGGAGGTCTGGACCCACTTCACCATCACCAAGACCATCGCTCACCTGTTGGCCACAGCGGAGACAAGGCCCAGGCACCAGGGCCTGCCTCCCACACCACTCCCGCATGCGACTCAGGGGCCATGGGGTCCGGGCCCGGACAGCCCTCACGGCCCCGGCAGCCCACGGCCCAGGGTACCTGGCTTCTGTTCTCGTGCAGCCCCACCCAAAGGCACCCTTGGGAGAGCTCATCTCGGCGGGTCTGGGCTAGGCTGCAGGGACAGGCAGGGGCCTGGCTGTGTGGGCAGGAGGGCACAGGCCATACTGGCTCAGACCAGCCATACCACTCGCATTTCCTCCAGCAGCGACCGGGCTCCGGGACACAGCCTCTCGTTGACAGACCCTGTGGGCCCAGCCACCTGCAGGCATGCCACCCCAGTAGGGGCGGTGAGTGTGGCAGGAGAAGCGGGTGCTGGGATCCAGGTGGGCCTGAGTGCCGGTTCCAGCCCTGCACCCCTGGACTTGCCTCCCAGTCCTCAGGCTCCAGGCCCTCACTAGCAAACGGGGTGACAGATGGACAGATCCCTGCCTGAGGGCTACTGCGGGAGGAGGGGCTGCTCTCAACCCCGGGACGACTGATGTCTCTGCAAACAGCAGGCACCGCCTGACCACCTGGCTGGGCCACCTGTACCTAGCGCTAGCCTGGTGGATGGGAGGAAGGGTGGCGGGAGCCGGGGGAGCCCACTTCTCACCTGCGGGGGCCGCCACGGTGGGTCCTGAGTGCCAGCCGGAGGCAGGGTGGGCAGCCGGGCCTTCCTCTCCCGAACAACCTCCATGCATCCAGCAGTGTCGATCTGGAACAGCTGAGGACACATGTGGCGCGTGTGATACACCATGTGACAGGAGGCTCTTCCCTGCCCTCAGGCCGCCCTCCGGCCCCAAGGGCCCAGAAGACAATGGTGCCGGCAGTGGCCTCGGGCCGCCTGACCGTGGCCTCTCATGGAGCAGGTCCCGCTGTGCGCCCTTAGCCTCATTCCGCAGCCCTCCAGGCCCGGGTTTAACTGAAAGTGGTGCGACGGGCACCGCGGCTGTCCCTTCCACATCAACCTGCTCTAAAGGTTGCCGGCCACTGAGCCACCATTCCCAAGGCCCCACAACTTTAGAAAACTGGCCTTCGGGGAGCTGGTCCACTCCACACTCTCAAGCTCACCATGGAGACAGACAGAGGAGAAAGCTGCACAGCGAGAGGCTCACCTGGATAAAGACGGTGAAAACCGGGGTGCTGGCCAGATGGGCGTCCTGCAGCTGCATCCTGATGACATCAGCTGGTGGGACAAGGGCACATGCGCCAAGTGGCTCTAGCTGCCAAGGCCCCCTCCTAGGGGCCCTGAGAGCCTCAGAGACTGGGCGCCAGGCAGGAAGCCCCAGGAACCCTGAATCCAGCTGCCACTGAGCTCGACCGAGAAGGGCGGGGCCCAGAGGGGGTGGGCTGGCCCTGGCTGGTCCTCAGCTCAAACTCTGGGGACAGGCGTTCCTGAGCATCAGAGATCGATAGTCGAGATGCTCAGACAACCCAAGCAGCTCTCAGAAACGTGCACCCACACACACTTCCCTGATCCTGAGAAGACGTGCCTGCTGAGGCCTGAATGTTGGGCCACCTCTGAACTGACCGCCGTGCGCTAAGCAGGACGACAGAGGCAAAACCCAACACCCGTCCAAGCAGACCCACTTCTAGAAAGATACCCCGAGTGTTCTTCCTCTCCCCGCCCCACGGCCCCACAGCAGGTTCCCAGAGGGGCTCCAGGGTAGTACCTTGAGTGTGCGTGGCGGGCCTCCGGGGGGTGCAGGGCAGGACGACGTCACCCACCCAGGGGCTCACGGCCATCAGAAGCCTGCGTTCAAGGAGCCTCCTCTGCAGGGCATGTCCCCGGGGCTGCTGCCACGGCTGCCGCACACGAGGCCTGGCCGAGCTGCTGCCAGCGGGGCAGGGCCCTGGGGACGAGCTGGACGGGCATGGCTGCTTCAGCTTTTCCTTCTGTGGGGAGAGAAAGGGCAGGGGGTGTGGGGGGGCAGCGGGGCGGAGGGATGCCCAGGCCAGGAGGGGAACGGCGAGGGGGTGTGGTGGTGTGTGCCTGCACGCACAGCTGGGGCACACAAACGCAGGCAGGCCCTTACCAGCGTCCGGCGCCCAGTGGCTGTGTTGGTCCTGAGCACCCGCAGCACAGTCTCCAGGGGTACCTTTAGCTGACACCGCTCACTCTGACAAAAAGAACAAGTGAGGCTGGCGTGGGGAGCCGGCATGGGGCCTGCCACCTGGGTAGACTACACACCCTGTCCAGACCCAGGGAACCACACCCGCATCTGAGTTGGTGACAAACACTCTCTCGAGTGTGGTGGCCTCAGGCTGCATCTCCCCAAGGACTACGAGGAGTGCCCACTCCCCCCAGCCAGCTCCCTGAGCTGATGGAATCAAACGCCTGAGATAGACTCTGAACAGGCAGGAAGAAACGAGCCTGTGCTCAGCCCAGGAGCTGTGGGTGTGCACTGTGCCCGCCGCCTTGATGGGCCACTGTCCCCTCGGATGTCACGGACTTCAACCTCTACCAGGACAGAGCAGCCTGTTCAGTACAGACTGCCACTCTGGAGGCAGCCAGAGCTGGGCCTGTGCCCAGGGCCCCGACCCCAGCCAGGACCGGCTGAGCCAGGCACACATGGGACTAGCGAGGTTGGACCGAGTGGGTGGGTGGACGGATGCAGGCCGGGAGGAAACGGCTCCTCCTCACCAACCCCCACTTGGGGTGCAACGCTTCAGAAAGGGCTCCAGGTCTCAGGTGCCCTCAGCAGCTCTTTCATGTCGCTTTTAAGGCAAACAAGTGGGAAATGAGGCCACCGGCCTCAGTGAGGAAGGCTGCTGCCCTGGGTCCCGCTCTTCCAACATGAGAAGCGAACATTCTAAGAGCAAGGATGGGTGTGTTTGCCTCCTACACCAGGGACATGGCCGGCCCACCGTCCCCAAGCGCCCGCCTCAGTGACTGCCGAGCAGCAGCATCTATTCTCTCCGTGCCCAAGCTGGGGGTGCACTGGGGCCCGTGCCCACCTCATCTGCGGGCCCCTCTGAGCTCGAGGGCTGAGTGTCTGTGGAGCACGGGTACCCCACACCTTTCAGGCCAGCGCTGTAGGTGCTGGAAGGAGCTGAGACTGCGCTGCCCACTGCTCTGCTGCCACCTGGGGCTGCCTCGGAGCCCTTGGGAGGGCTGGGGGAGGCAGCCGAGTGTCCTGGCTGGCCCCTTGCAGCTCCCTGCCACAGCTCGCTGGCGCTCTGTCTGGCAGGAACCCACAGGTCCATGTCCGGCACTGTGTGCTGTGCTGACGGCAGCGCCTGGCCACACGCCTGGGTTTCCGGGGCTTCCTCCGGCTCCGGCTCTGGCTCCGAGTCCCCACTGCTGGAGCTGCCGTCCCCACTGCTGGAGCTGCCGTCCCCGCTGCTAGAGCTGCTGTCCTCACTGCTGGAGCTCCACCGGACGCTGCGAGGGGGCGGCCGCCGCCTCCTCCCCCGACGCTGCTGCTTCTGTGGGGGACAGGCTGCTTGGAGGCCTCATACCAGGGCTCAGACGAGGGACAACCGCAGGCTGGCCAGTCCCTCTCCCGCCCCATGGTGAGGCTGAGCCGACAGGTGCCACCTCACCCTGACCATGATTTTCCACTTGCTCAGACACTGGGAGCCCGTCCGATGGGGGAGTTCAGAAGCTATTTTTGCCCAGTGACCTACAAAAGCAAACGACATGACAGTTGCTTCTCACGCAGGGTCTTTGACGACACAAGCTTACCAGCGTGGACAAAAGGGCTCTTCTCTGTGCTGTGCTTGGGTTTGGGTCCCTTCCAGAAGACGGGCATCGTGCTCCGTCAGGATGGGGCTCCTGCTCACCCTCCTGCTGCCTCACGTCTGAGAAGCTTCGTCGTAAAGTAAGAAATAGCTGGCCCAACTAAATTAAATGGAACAATTCAACAGCAAACACAGCCTTTTCTGGAAAAGCAGCCTGCACTGAATTCGGCTGACTGGGCAAGGGCACACGGGCTGCCCTCAGGCATCTCGGGGTGATGACCTTAGTTAATCACCTTCCTTCTAGTCATACATCTCCACTTCCAAATTTTCTATAGTGAATGCGAATTAGTTTGTACAATGGGAAAACCACCCCCATCTGCTGAGATGACGACACGGGGTGGGAGTGACAACCCCAGGGAGGCAGCCTGGGCGTGGGGCAGACCGCCAGCCTCCATGGGGCCGCACGCCTCCGCCGTGAGCTCAAAGCCACTAGAATCTCAAGGAAAGTGAACATGCCAGCGAGAACTTACCAACGCCGTATTTCTCTATTAGTTCAATTAACTTCTCCTCTTCTTTTGAATTCCATCGTCCTTTTTTCAAGCTGAAATGTAACCTTCTGAGATATCTGGAAATGACATGGATCAAAAGGGATGTTTCAGATGCTAGGGTGGCCTCCCGCTACCGTCCTGGCTTCTGCAAACAACGCTTTCTGTGATATGACATCAAAGGCACGGACAACCAAAGAAAAATACAGATTAACTGGATTTTCTCAAAATTAAAAACTTTTGTGCCTCAAAGGTCACCATCAAGAAAATGAAAGACGGCCCGCAGGTTGGGAGAACATCTGCAAACCACACACCTGAGAAGTGACTTCTACGTGGAGCTCACAGAGAACCCTTTGAGTCAGTAACAAAACTCGATTTGAAAACTGTGCCCCATTCTCCAGAGAAGACATGCAAATGGTCAGTCAACACAGGGGGAGATGCAAACCAGAGCCGCGAGATGCCACTTCACCCCACTAGGACAGCTGCAACCCAAAGCAATGGTCAGTGATGGTGAGGGGGTGGGAGTGACAGTAGGTGGGAGCCTCGTGCACTGCGGGTGCATGACACGTGGGCAGCCGCTCTGGACAAAGGCATGGCGGTTCCTCCGGGTTATAAGACCTGCCATGTGACCTGAGGACTTCACTCCGAGGTGTGCATCTGGGAGAAGGGAGTGCCTCCGTGCACACAGCGTGTCCAGGTGTTTTCAAGGCCCATCCATGTCACAGCGAACGTCAGGGTTTCACTCGTTTCTAAGGCTGCATAATATTCTGAGGTCCACACGCTTTACACCCACATCTTCCTGATCCCTCATCTGTCAGCGGGCACTTAGGCTATTTTCCCTCTTGGCTGCTGTGAACTGTGCTGCTAGGAACACGGGCAGCAGAGTGTGTGTGAGGCCCGCTCCAGCCTTTCGGGCACAGAGTGGGCCACTGGGTCACATGGCAGTTCTGTGCTTAACCTGTGAGGAACCCCACACCGCTTCCCATGGCGGCTGCGCGGTCTCATACGCCCACCAGCAGTGCCCAGGGCTCCAGCTTCTCCGCCTCCTCGCCACACTTGCTACTTTCCATGTTTTAAAACAACCACCGTCCTAATGTGTGTGAAGTGGTGCCTCATTGTGGCTTTGATTTGTTTCTGTGATGACTGGTGATGTCAGCATCTTTCTAAGTGTTTAATGGCTATTTGTATGTCTTCTTTGCAGAAATGTCTATTCAGGTCCCTTGCTCATTTCTGAATCACTTGTATTTTTGTTTGGGGAATAGGTTTCTTTGTTGGGTGATCAAAATGTTCTAAGAACGACTGTGATGATGGCTGCTTGATGAATACACTGAACACCACAGAACTATATACTTAAAATATATATAGAACTATATACTTAATATATATTTAAAAGGGTGAGCTGTATGTGAATGACATCTTAATAAAACTGTTGTGGGGAAAAAAAAAAGCAAGCTGAGAAAAGGAGGGAGCTGAAGCATCTGCCAGGGGTCTTGCCCTTCAGGGGCGTCGGGGAGGGCCCTAGACAACAGGCTGCTTTTCAGTACATCGCTCTCCTGCTTCCCGATCGGGTCACGCTGGCACCCCGAGCCACCTCCTGTGCCCGCAGATCACCGCGGCCCGTCTCCTACCCCAGCTGCGCCCCTTACCCAGGGCACCTCACTCACCGGTCTCGGCACTGGGCATCACTCCTCCCTGGCACCTCTTCCCGGATCTTAAACCAGTCCCGCTCCCCATATTTGGCAACCGCTTGAAGCAACTTCTGCAGGAAGTGACATACAGACAGTGATGCTTCCTCCCAACCTCTACTCTGTCCACTTACAAAGGGGACATCAGGGGCCCGGCAGCCATGTCCCAGGGCGGTCCTCCTCAGGCCCCGCACACCCACCGCGTCCTCCTCTGGGGCCCAGCAGCCTCTTTTCAGGTTGGGGTCCAAGCTCTTGGTCCACCGGTAGATGAGTTGCATCGAGTCCCTCCCTTCCATGTAGTAGACAACTGCAGGCAGAGGGGCGCCATGAACCTTCACTTCCGGGGTCACCGGAAAGGAACTGGGACACCCGGGACTACAGGACCCCTCGCTTCTTCCAGCCTCTCACAACGGTCCTTGGGAACGGCCTCTGCCCGCACATCCCTGGCCGAGGGCACCCGGACGGCCGCCCGAGCTCACTTTTGCGGTAGGGGATGTGGCTGCCGACTCGCATCTCC